GGAAATCTGGATCACAAAACAATCCAGAGCAGTGCGTGATAACGAAGACAACCATGCAACAGGGTGGACGTATTTTCCGATACATTAAACGTCAGAAAGTAAAAAAAAATGTTGGATAAACATGCAGAGAAAAGTGATGCACTGAAGATACTCCATTTCATAAAATGAACAGTTTTGATCCGTGCTATGATGTTGGCACACGTTGGTTCCTCTTGTACATTAGATCACAGGATCATTATTTATCAACATACAAACATAATGAGATTTGTGTTAATACTGTAACACAACGAAGCATTCACAGGCAGCAGCAGCAGCACTTTTAGAACTGTCAGACAAATAAGAGCTGTCTGTGCGACAGGATGTGTGTGCTCAACGAGAATAAAAAATACCTTTCTATGCAACACTACTATTGTGAGTCACGCCTTTTCGTGCACCACTCAAAAGCAGATAAATTAATTTTCACCAACAAGTCTGTCGCCGAATGTGCGTTTTTATTCTATTTTTAAGGCAACGTTCTTGACGAATGTTGACGAGAGGGGGGGTTGTTTGTTAATTTTACCACACGGGGGCGCTGATGGAATACCGGTCCCTTTGGTATCATGAAAGATTTCTGGAAAGGTGTAATTTTCCCAAGGCAAAATGTGGCCAGAGCAACGAACGCGCACAACGCATTCAGCAACGCACCGTTGCACAACTGTTATTGGGGTAAATGACCACGCGTTAGCATCCGAGACGTTCTCTCTACGTCTATACCCTCTGCAATAACGAAAGTCATTGCTGCTGATGCCATCATCATCAATTACCCTGTGCCACGACACTAGATACTGTAATATCATGCAGTCGGAAACCGCGTACTACACAACCCAAGGCAGCAATTCACAACAGCTCTTGGTTATACGTTTGCTGTGACACATCAGGGGGTGCATTTCCTCGACTTATTCAATGATGAAGCCACGTCCGTGCACGGACCGCACTGTGTGATGCAACGCAAAACACACAAACGTGACAAATAATCACCTCTCCTCTCAAGTGAACATTTCCTCGTTAACGTGATCACGACTGCTCCGGTGGTGATTTTATAATCGTCATACCCCGACATCACAGCGAGACGCATATTCGTGCGCTTTTGGTGCAATTCGCCCGCACCGGGGACGTGGCAGCAGACAGACACACTCGCTTCCTACCTTGCATCCCTGCTGCTGCTGCGGATGGGATGTCGTTCGGTAGGTGTGGGTTGACACTGAAACAGCTGGCACGTGCAGTAAAATAATGCTTTCGTTGTCCTCCAGGTCCCCCTTCCTTCCTCCTCCTCTCGCTCGCTCGCTCTCTCTCTCGTCTCCTGCCGAAGATGCCGGTGACTTTGGGTTTGGAGGGGTGGCTGGGTTGGTTGGTGGGTGGGTGGATAGGAGGGGAGGAAATTGCCGCAAGCGTGGCGTGAATCCTAATCAGCCTCCTGCGCTGCCTGTCAGTTCTCCCTCCCTCCCTGCCTGTCCGTAGTCGTGTCCTCCTCCTCCTCCAGCTCGCTCCTCATCGTCAGCACGCAGCAGCCCCCCCTGTAAGTCATCAAGCACCACTTCAATGAGTGGTGGCGAGGAAGAGGTGACATTCTTTTGGATATTTAATTTTGTTTTAAACCCTGACCGATGTTGATTGTAAATGTGGCTGGTGGAGATTTTTTTTCCTTCCTTCCGTAGATAATAATTCGTTTATTGTTTAAAATAAAAGAAATGTCACGAAGAGCAAAGCGAGAAATAAATAAATATGTCGTGGTGTATCTCGAATGTGTAATTTGATTTCATCGTTTCAGTTTTTGGTCGCTCATTTATTTATATCTTTGAAATCCGGTGCATGAAAACCCATCGATCTATCGTGCAACACTGATATTCATATATTTTTTTCATATCAGGATGACTTTTACATTACAGGAATGACAATTCAACATATCTCAAAGTAATTCTAAAATATTGAAATATATAATGCACCACATACTATGATGAGAACCGGGATAATATAAATATCTGAGCGATGATAATGCATCACCGGACTTTCAATTAACCATAATTATGTGACGAATTGCTATTAGACAAGCAGAGCTACTGCTGTACTCATGCCTTATGCATTACAATAACCGCCGCACACAAAAAAACGACTGATTAGGGTGGCTGCTTGGGTTATTTTTGGCATTCCCTGAAAATTAAATGTGAATGCCGTGGTGCACTTAGGTAATTTCTCCACTCTTCAACGACTGCCAATGTTTTTTTCTCTCTCTCCCTCTGGGCAGTATTTGTTCTACTGATTATTTCCGAGTACCGTACTGGGCGACTGTGGGTTATTTTTGACATTGTTACGGTCATAAATACCTCATTCATTATTTAATGTACGGCTCTGCACATTGCATATTTACATTGCTGACATGGATTATCATAATTGTCATCTACACAATTTACTTGTGGATGACGATCAATTTTAATTAATGTTTATGCTCATGATACACGCACGGAATTGTGATAACACTGTTGTCAATATATTTGAAATCACACGTCAAAAAGGGTTTCAGTGCGTCGGTCATGGTGTAGGGCTGACCCATCCTTCATCCTACCAGCTATGATGACATACAATAAAGTCCTGGAATTCCTTGCTTAAATGTAATGCAGTCAAATAATTTAGACGTTATTTTGGGAAATTTGAATGCTTTGTGCATTGAAACGAAACTTTTATATTTTACTAGGTAAGGCCCACTGAGTTGTATAGCTCTTTTTCAGAAGCATCCTGGCCACAATTGATAGCTTAACAAAGTGGCTTATCATGTTGAAATTCATAACAGCCAAATTCTCTAAATGCATGATTCTAAATGTGGAGGGAAAACTGGTCGACCCGGAGAAAAATCTACGCGACCACAGGGAAATACATGCAAACTCCAAATAAACAGGCATCAGGGTCGGGATCGAACCCATGACCTCCTGCATACCAGCAGAGTGAGTTAACATCTTGCCACCACTGCACCCAGTACGGTACTTCTGAGGGTTACAAAAAATCTACTTCTGTACTTAAACTGAAGTCAGGTTTTTTGTAACAGTGGAGCTGCTCTAGAACTTCATCTCTGGCCCCAGGCTCCAAATCGCTCCAGTGACCCCAGCTCTGCTCCAGTTAGATTTAACAACACACAAAGGTTTATCTTCTTGGTTATTTCGGTAAAGTCACGTAGAAGGAAAATAATAAAATAATACAAATAAAACATAATAAAATACAATTCTCACGACGTTTCGACCACGATGCAAGCAGTCGTCCTCAAGTAAAGAACAGGTCTGTCGTAAAGACAGCGTCATTCAGACGCTGTCTATTTTATTGTTTTATTCTTATTGTTTTATTATTTCCCTTCTACGTGACTTTACCGAAAGAACCAAGAAGATGAATCCATGCAGTCACGAAAGCTTTACATCGAAACACAAAGGTTTGTTGTTGAATCGAGCCCAGTACAATATAGAACATTGGAAAACTCTGCTCTGGCTGCAGGAATCCAGAGCCAGAGTTTGGCCATCCCTACCACACACCCAGCGCCTTGTTACCAACCATATGCAACCGTCTCACACAACCACTAGTGTGGTTGATGCGGCTTGTTGGGTGGATATGGTGGGCTGGACTGATGGCTTTTTAGCCTGACTGCGGAAGAGGATTTTACGTGGATTTCATCAATTTGCACGTCAGTGACCTTTCCGCCTTCGTGAGTGTGTGCTAGGGTTCGGCATCGCTTCCCTTTCCTGCGATATCCCGGAGTCATTGTTCGTTTCTATTTTCCTTATTTTTCCAGTTTTGCCCTTTCTGGCTTGTATTCCTTGGCAATTGTGTTGTAAGGCACTTTTTACATTCTTAGGCATAAATGTGCTAAATAACTATGACCAGATCACCTCGAAAATTTCAGATCTCGTCAGACATAGGAAAATAAGCATTAACCACTGAGTGACGGTGACGTCACCACGGCGCCGGTGCCAGGCCAGGTGCACTTGGAGCAACATCACACAATCATAAAAAAAAACGTGCCCAACTACCCAGTAAACAAGTACCGCTGGGAATGCGGGTAACACCGTTCAAGTTAAATTATTAGGTATAGCCCTGTGAGCCATTCGGCTCTTGAATCGGATGCAACCGCAACAAACAAAAAATGAACAAGAAAACATCTTAAAGTGAATATGTGACTAAGTGCAAACAGAAAATCCAAGACAGCAAAATATTGCAGAAAAAAACACCGTACACCAACGCTGTGTGCAAAAATCCCAGTGGGATGCAAGTCAAACAACAACAACCACAAGACAACTTAGATTAAGGCCATCAGTCTTACTCCGTACTACAACAAACAAACGTGGCCAAACCAGCAAACTTTTCGAAATCACCAAAATAAAGCAATGAAACAGTGATCATAGGAACTGTGACGGAATTTTCACAATAAACGACAAACAACATGTACTACCAAAACCCTGCAGCCATAGTTGGCTGCATGAGTCACTCTACAACAGCAGGAGCATCAGTCGGGAGTATTGCACCCAACAGTCCCGTGCTCACTGATCACGAGCACGTGGCACCGCGTGCAAACCACGTGGTGTGGCACGTGGCACGAGCACGCGGCACCGCGCGCACGTGGCACCGCGTGCAACCACGTGGTTTGCACACTCCCAACGGGTTTTTTGTTGTTTAAATATCCTCGGCGAGTCTCCAGCTGACGCACGACGCCTCGACCAATCAGCGCGGCCCGAGCGTTGCGTTACCACGGCAACGCCCGCCCCGCGCCCCCCCTCGTGCGGAAGAAGGGAGAGGGGGGTGCGCGCGCGCGCGCATCCGCGTTGCAATTTCCCAGCGCGCACGCGCCCGCGTCTCCATGACGACAGAGCCACACCCTCCCCCACCACCACCGCTCTGCTATTGGCTAGCGCCGATCACGCGGTAGGCCAAACTCGCACGCTATTGGTCCGTTTGCTCATGCGGACTGTGGAGGGGGGCGGGGCGTAGAGCGGCGGCTGTGGCGGTGGCGGCTGGGGCAGCCTCGCCGCTGCATTCCACGCGGCGGTGGTGGTGGTTGTTGTTGTGGTGGTTGTTGTTGTGGTTGTTGCCGTCACCACTGCCCACCGTTAGTTGTACACGCCCGTGTCACTTTACCGTCGTTTTATTGCCTTCGACAACTTTTTACGGCTGTTTCGAGGGCGATCAGAGGCGTCGCGGCGCGCGATGATGCACACGCGGTGCCGGGTAAGTTGGCGCGGCGCGGCTGCATTTTTTTGCTTTTTTTGTCGTTAAAACAACTCGGAAACGAGCTTTTGTAAAGAAGGCAACGCATTTAAACTCGTACAGTCACGGTCAGGCAATCTGTCGCAGAGTTGCAGGGACTTGAACAGCACCGGCATTCAAATGCGTTGGAAGTCTTCGCGCACGGCACGCTGCAGTCTTAGAGAGTGGGTCTCACAATGTTCACTGTCACGGTGAATTGTTGTTTATTGATGACGGTGGTTTACCGCATAGTAAACCACTGTAATGGAAATAGCAAAACCACACGACATGGACATGTTACCTCGCAGAGTGGCGTAGAATGACAGTACAACGTGCGGTGACACCCCCCCCCCCCCCTCGGCGTTCACCACCTAACTCTACGTGTTTATTGAGTTGCTTATCTAAAACTACGAGGGTTCTTTATTGCCCCCTTCTCACCCAAGTTATTGTTATTGTTGGTACCGCAATGTTTGTATTGCTGGGATGGAGCGGTGGCGCAGCCGTTAGCGCACTGCGAACTGAACCGGGCCAATTTCGATTTAAAGCGTTCGTGACTGCAGCGATTCATCTTCTTGGTTCTTTCGGTAAAGTCACATAGAAAGGACATAATAAATTAATAGAAATTAAACATAAGATCAAATTCTCACGACGTTTCGGCCACAACGCAAGCAGCCGTCCTCAGGTGAAGAACAGGGCTGTCGGAAAGACAGCGTCCTAATGAGAATTTTATCTTATTATGTTTTATTTTTGTTATTTTATTATTTCCCTTCTACGTGACTTTACCAAAGAACCAAGAAGATTAACCGGGCCACCTCACGCTTCGTTAGATATCTTGCAAAGCATTTGCCAATCGACCCAGATCAGCGTGAATTCTGGTCCAACTTTACATATAAAGGATGATACGTAATATAACTAATGAAAATAAGTATATATATATATTCTTGGTTCTTTCGGTAAAGTCACGTAGAAGGGAAATAATAAAATATAAATATAAAACAATAACAATTCTCACGACGTTTCGACTGCAACACAAGCAATCATCATCAAGTATGTTTAACAATAGGTTGTACCCTTTCTGGCAAAAATACAGATGTCAAGATGTTAAAACACCAAATATAATTCTTATTTAAGGAATCCTGTCTGCACTAACCACACGTACTTGTGGTGAACATGCAAACAAAAAACATGCTCTAATAACATCACGTTGACACCTTAACTGCAGTATCCGTGCCGAGTTTATCCACGTGTAATGTGTGTGCATGTCACGGTTTAATGTGCATCGTTAAGTGATTGGCAACTGTCATACGTGACGTGTGAGTGGTAAATGCGATGTAAACGTGTTTAGTTTAACACGATACACGGCCGTGCAGTTGTGTATTTGAAATAATTACTGTTGTAAAGCGGCATATGCTTTTCTGTAAAACACGGCATCGTACTTATTACTTGGCGTTTAATATGAAGAGCACACCACAAGACACGGTGACATGAGATGGTTTTTCATTCGAGAGTTGGACTCTTTCTGCCACTTATATCTATTTGTTGATAATACATTACAGCGTTGACTCGTTTATTGTGAACGTGGGCTGCTTTTGTGCATCTTACAATAAAGCATGTATTTCTAAATAAGTTAAAATATCAAATTATTCTTCCAAAATGTATGAATACTGATCAATGCCCATTTCTGGTGATCATTAGCAATTGGAGATACTTCTACACAACTGTTATGGATATCGGTCTTATTATTAAACTCAACAACTAGTTTTTTTCTTGCACTAAGTCATTGGAATCTTATGGGTTTTTTTTATGGCCGAGCCTTGCCTCTGATGTAAGGCAATTGCCACCTAGTTGTGCAGCTCGCCACCCTGGTACCCATTTACCAACCCTGTAAAAAATGGCGATGATTGGCAGAATGAACTCTGGATGGAGTTTGAACTCACATACAGAGTTGATCTGTCATTGATCCTCACGAGTAACTGGACAAGGCTAAGTTGACTGAGTGGACGCCTTAAACTTTTTCCGGAATAAATATTTTGGAAAAGCGTTGAGGACTCTTTTGTTGTTGTTATTATAGTATTTCTTTACTTGGTCATCTATACATGAGCTTCATTTGTAACCAGGTGAACGCCAATTGAGTAAAACGGCTCTTTTACAAAGAAGGGGAGTTCCTCTTTGTACGCAGAATATGACATTAAATCAGAGAAACAATATGCGAGACTAACCCACCCTTTGGCCTTTCATGCCAACAACAACAATCACATTTAAAATGCTTCTGTTATGTGGTAATCACATTACACTTGACTCATTAATGATTATACTGCTTCTCCAAAATGCTGTTAAACATGTTGGACAAGCCATACAACCAACATGCCAATTTACAACGACCACCTATGCCATTGCAAATGAGGTCTGTGGGAGCAGATGCTCAGGGTGGCCTAGATTTTCTGAGCTTTTATGAACACAGCATCTGAATAATCCCCATCTGTTCCGTGGACTCTCTTTAGAGGTCACGCTGAATGAATATTTCTGGCTCCATATGTCCACATTTTCCTCATGCATTTACATACAACAGTGCAGATTAAAGCTACTTTGCTTCTAATGCTATATATTGATTTTGCGACGTAGCTATGTTAGGTCTCGAATTATATTTTGTCATTTCTTTAGTTATCTGGATTTTTGTGGAAATGCACATAAATTGTGATTATCCATATTCACGTGAAAGAAAATCAACCGTTTGAAAACGTATTCTTTGGGTCTTTCGGTAAAGTCACGAAAGACCCAAAGAATATGAATTCCTGCAGTCACGAAAGCTTTAAGTCGTTTGAAAACTATTTGATGAAACCATCAACTGTAAAATCAGATTGAAATGAGTTCTCAAAATGTGCAACTTATATCCTGTCAAGGAGGTAGTTTTTTCTTGAATTACTTCCTCAAAACAATTGTTTAATGGACTAATACTGCTACATTTCAAGCAATTTTAGTAAGTATTTCTTCTGACTTTGAAAAATCATTTTTAATTCATGGGATAATTGAAGCAATACTGGTCCAAAATGGGTCCTATTACAGCTTAGACTTATCTGGAAAGCATCCAGTTTTCTTTGGTAATTGGCTTAAGATCGAGTTACACTTTGCATTCATATTACATGACCATTGTTTGCCAGGATCCTTTAACAGAAAAGCATCTGATGCAAAATACTGCCAGGAAGGGGCTTGCATTTATTAATACATTATTAAATCGTGTTTTTACTGGTTGCTTGATGCCATGGTCCCACATTGCAAGTATATTAATTATGTAAGCCCTCATTGTCGATGCTTGGTGATGCAGTTTAACAGTATGCTGGCATAAAGAAAACAACCTCTGTAACCCCAAACGCACCATGGGGCTGAATAAAGTATTCTTCTAAAGAGGTTCCTGTGTGTAGAATATTGTAGACATTGAGCCATACGTGTATTTACAAGAGGGACCCACATTATCTTAGACCCTAGGGGGTTAAATCCATTTACGGCACATGGGATTAGAAAGGTCTTTTGTGTAAGCCAGACAGTGCTCAAAACCGAATGCAGAGTATCCTGTATGAGTCATAAAGCACGCACACCACATAGGCCACTCAGGCAAATTAACTTTAGAAATCCTGTGCCTGCCTTTTTTTAGCCAGCATTTAATATGTATTTGATGCTTTCATGATCATTTTAAATTCTTATCTGTGAACGCGTGTGCAATATTTTCATTTTTGTTTGCAAGGTTCATCTAAAAACCACGTGAAGACTACATTTCCGTTAAACAAACAATGGACGTAGCATAGTTACAATTGACCCGCAGAGCGATGGATTGTATCCTTTCATGAAAATGGACCGCGACGATGGGGGAAATGAGGGAACAGACCTGGACGCCAGCGAAAAAACCTACAATGAAACTCACAAGCCTCTGGAAGACATGGACGAGGATGGCGTTATTATGGTGGAAGGAAGCCGATACCGTGTCGAAGCTTGTGGGACCGTTCCACTTAGCCACATCGCAGAGACTGTGGATAAGGTGCGTCCTCCTCGCAAGCCTGGCTTAGGTGACGTTGTTTCGCAGGCTCCCTTGGATGTCCTAGACATAGAGGAGACTAGCTATCCTACTACCGACTCTCAGGATGCTGCAGCTCTGTCGGCAGAAGGGACAACAGCCGATGAAGCACACGACGACCTCAGCTTTCACGTCAGCGAACTATTGGATTCGGATGCATTGCCGGCGTCGTCGGAAAAGCAGCAAAGTTTAGAAGTGGCGGATGAAGATGTGAGCTACCGCATCAGCGAGTTGCTGGACTCTGATCCAGTGGCTATTTCTGTGTCTCTTGCGGAAGACGCCACCCTCAACATCAGCAACGGTGAGTGTGCACCTCACGCTGTTATATAAGTGCATTTCACTGCCGTGTATATCTCTACTCATGTAGGCGTTTTGGGATTGCAGCACGCACAGCTGATATTTACATGAGGAAAATGATATACCAGTTTAATCCACTTCTTGTTTATCCACTGGCTTAAATATGGTATAAACATGCATTGAAGTATGTAATTATGCTGGCAATTATTGTGTCGTTATATGTAATTGATTTTCTACAATGACAAAATGGTTTGGAGAACATTTTCTTAATTCAAATATAAGTGTCAGAGTGTATAAAACTAAGCATTTTATTGAATCATATCTTGTGTACCTGTCCTGTAACTCAGTAGTCGAGGAATATATAGGTTTAACACTTTATGTTTGGAGCTGCATACATATTTTTTTTATTGTTTAATTACGCTTAATATATTTCACATCCCAGATGATACCTTCCAAAGTGAAAACTCACCAGAGCTCGCCAAAGATATTTCGCCCAGGAGGATGTGGAGGGTATCCCCAGAGCAAGGCATCATGGCAAGCACAAGCGGCCCTGCCAGAGAAGTGGGGAGTGGACAGCACAGGGCTTCACCTCATGAACAATTGGGAATGGAGTCTGCGGATGATTATGACGATGAGATTGAAGAAGGCGGAAGGACGAGCGAGGAGGAATCGGACCTGCCATACGACGGAGACCTGGACGAGGGTTCGGATTTGAACCCCAACAGTGCGAGTAATACGTCGGGTACAGGGCAGTCGTGCACTCATTCTTCCGAGCTGCATGAGAAAGGAGCGTTGTCTCTAAGTGGAAGGGAACAGTCCACTTGCCTAATGAACCTGGCACTTGAAAATGATCCAGGGGACCGTGAGGGACTCGACGCTCAATCGCTGTCACGCGATATCAATGCAGGGCTGCGTTATTCACTTGCCGATGAGACGGGAGCACGGCATGCTTTGGTAATCGAAGAGGAGCACTTGTTACGTTCAAATGATGACTTTGTTGGACCCAGCAATAATTTGTATTTCTCACAAATACGAGCTGAAGTGTTTCTCACAGAAGCACACGATGGAAAGTATTTATCAGATACAGTCGACACAATTGAACACTCTTCAGAGGCACGAGGCAATACTTGCAATGTAGAAGATGAAATTGTCTGTGTTGGTTCAGCCAATGAACCAAAAAACACTATTCGCTCAGACCAGGAAATGCAATACAAAGCCTATGAACATGTACTTATTACGGCACAAGCGCAACATGCACAGTCTACCTTTCAACAGCAGCCTTGTGATATGTTACACAGAGAGCAAGAAGTTAAGTTGGAAATATGTAATGATGTAATTGAGCCCACAGCCCAAAATTCAAAGACTGCCATTGAACAAGTCAGTCACCCGTTTGCTGAGGATGAACTCAGTTCCAGACATTACATTGAAGCAGAAACTATGCCCGAAATTTCGTTCACAGAGAGCGTCGATGCTGCCGCAGCAGCTAAACAAGCTGATTTTTTAATCAAAGATGAATTCCATAGGAGCCATAAAGAGGGCAGCATGCAAATTATACCTGAACATGCCCAATGGCTCCCCAGCGCTGACGAAGGTGCACAGACCTCTTTAATTATTGACCGTGAAAGTGTTGAGATGGGTACAAATGTAAACTGCATGGACGTGTGTAATTCCGCAGAACCTTACAGTCAGATATCTTGTATTAAGAAGCAAATGCTATCAGTATTAAAATCAGACAATTGTGCAGCTAATGCACCATCTGATAGGTCAATATTGCTGGATGATAACCAGAAACAGAGGAGAGGACAAGTTAATTACCCGCTGCCAAACTTGTCGATGGTTGAGCCAAAAATTAGGTCGCAGAAGAAGGCAAAGACCAAAGTAGATCGATCACCGTCTTCCACAAAGGCCAGTGTCAAGTTGGCCAGGTCTGTATCGCACAAGCCCTTGGTTGCAACCGTACGGGAGGTCCTCAACAGCACAGAGCTTCCATTGGTGTCGTGCAAGACGCGCTGCGTTACCCCCGAACCTCAGGAAGGGACCCCCACAATGCACAGCGACAACAGAAGCCCAAACTCTAAAACAAGCGCAGATATGGTGCGGCAGCTGCAGGTGAGCGTACCACTGGTTTGTGGATTATTGTCTACGAGATTTTTAACGAGGAGTCTACCAGATTGTGTTACATGCACACGTACAGCTCTTTTTGTAAATTAATTGCTGGATTAGGGCTTTCCTGCTTCATGCAGCCCATAGGATTTATTTGACCGTGCTTCACCCGGCCCGGTGAGTGCAGCTTGATGAAGGTGGAGAGCATAGACGTGGGAGAATATAAGTACAGTACAATAATGTATTTTTTCTGTGCTGCCCTCCATTGCCCTCCACTTAGCCCCGCACGCCCGGTGAACAACTTGTTTGTGCATGGCGGTCACTCATCCAGTCACTATCCAGGCACAACCTGCTTAGATTTTGAGATCTGCCGAGATTGTGCTTATTTGGGTGATTTAGTCAAAGGCTTTGGGAAATATAGCCTGAAATATTAGACCGCTCCTTTAGACTTTGAGTAATGCTTTTAATTTAAAAAAAATTCACTCAAATTAGTTTACTAAATATTTTGAGAATCATCCAAAACTCTTGTTTAAAAGTACTAACGTTTGATCACATTTTTTTGTGCGTTTAGTACAGAACGGTCAAACTTATATTCAATAATACAATTTCATATTCTTGGTTCTTTCAGTAAAGTCACGTAAAAGGGAAATAAATAAAAATTCTCACGACGTTTCGATTGCAACACAAGCAATCATCATCAGGTGTGAAAACTACAGCAAGAAAAAAATACAATTGCATGTTTAGTTTTTCCCTGCATCATAAACTTAATGCACATTGAGTGAGTTAATTTCATAAATATATTATCATTATCTTATGAATTTGTTCACATTGTATCCTTTTTACTTCCAAATGTTACACGCGGGTTGTATTTTTTTCTTACACATTTCTGTTTATTTTAACATTATGTTCCTGCAGCAATTGCTCCTGTTAGATTAAGCTGTTGCTTTTTTACCAACATTGTTGTAATTGAGAAATGGGAGGGATGGTAATTTTGAACTGTTGTGAAAACCTTTGAGTGTAATTGAGCCTCCCATTGTTCCGAGTGACCCCCACCACCTCCCCCATGACATGTGTGTACCCCACACCACCAGGAGGACTATGATAAGCTACTGACGAAGTACGCCGAGGCCGAGAATACTATCGACCACCTCCGGCTCGGTGCCAAGGTGAGTTTTTAAACTATTGAACAATTTTTTTTTATTTTGCCAGGTAAGGCCTCACTTCGCTATATAGCTCTTTTTCAGAAGCGTCCTGGTCACAAGTGATACCTCATCGAAGTGGCTTATCACGTGGAAATGTATAGCAGTCAAATACACTAAACTTATGTTGATTCTAAATGCGAAGGGAAAAAGCGGAGGACCCGGAGAAAAATCCATATGACCACGGGGAGAACATACAAACTCCAAATATTTTCATGCATCAGGGTTGGGATCGAACCCGTGACCTGCATACCTGGCGAGGTAGTTAACATCTCGCCGTATGTCAGCAGTGCCACGTGATCTTCATTGAATAACCACTGGTCTTTGTTGCTCAACGCTCTTAGCGTTGCACTCTCCAGGTGCAGTTGCGCAGTTTCTTCAGAGCCTGACACAAGACCCCACGGGTTCCTTCAAAAGAAACTCGTGGTTGGGGCAAGCGCGGGCTCGCCCAGCATGAGAACTTGTTTGCTTAAGTGTGACGGCCGCACTGAGAAAGGGGCTTTTTGGTTGACACTGTTTTTAATATATTTTGATTTGTTTATAGAAAATTAATTAACAATGACATGGGGGTTTCAAACAGAGAGCATTGCCTAGATTCAGATTAATGTTGGGCTTTTAAAAATACACTTTGGATCATGCTCGTGAAATGCATCGCCAGCATTATCAGTCTTGACATATTCCGTGCTGGATGAAGGTCCCTCCACATCATTGGCGTCACTGGAGCAGCAACAATTACACGATAGCCAATTGTCTTTAAAGTTCAACCTTTCTTGGAATGGAAATGTTGGACTGCACGCGTGCATTAGGTTTGAGTAACTGCAAATGTAGCTCGGTGTAGTGATCGGTGTCTTATACTCGTGCAGGGGTCGGCAACCAAAATGACAAGACGAGACTTTTTTTCGAATTCGGTAAAAAACTAAATAGTTTCAGAGCCGCAGTGCGTGTGAATTCGAGACGGTGGTTGTCCTTAATAAATAATGTTACGAAGCGCTCCTTGAGCCGCATGCGGCTCGGGAGCCAAAGGTTTAGTGCATTGGATGTGTGTTACCTGTCTGTGACATTTGGTGTTTTTCGTCGATTGATGCTTTGGTCGGCCAGCTCGTTTGAAGCGTATCATGTCCGTGGCATGTGTGTAGGTGTCACTGTTTGTCGATGCACCAAAACCTGCCAGCAGTGCCATTCATGTGGGAACCTTGAACACCCCAAGCCGGCCTGTAACCCTCACCATCCCAAAACCACAACAGGCGTGGCTCATTCAGCCAGGGGCAGGAAGTCAAGAGCATCCAGGTACAGTGTATGGCGCAAACACAGGCTGTATCACACTTGAATAAAATGTAAAAGGACATTTCAGCCATTCGTCCATGTTCACGGCAGTCTGCAGAAAGCGTAGGTAACATAGCAGCCATTATGAACTGCAGTGCTGTCAGGACACTGATGCCAACAAAATGTTTATAACTAAAGTGATGCTTTGTAAAATCTGCTTGAGATGGTAACCCACCAGGCCACTTTGATGGATTACATTTTTCAAGATTCACAGTTCACCAATCGTGGGTATTTTTGATCACCTGACAATGGCCTTGGGGGAATATTGGGTTAAGCAGCTGTTATTGCTTTTCTTTAATTGAACGCTAATTTTGACTAGAGGAAGCTAATGTGTTTCGAAATCTATAAAAAAAATCGGTCCTAGCTCTTAAGTGTAATGAAAACACACAATCAAGGAAATCGCAGTGCCATTAATGAAGAATGATTGAATTTCAGATGGTGACTCAGGTGGCGCAAGGTGTTCCATGCATGAAGAGGAGGCAACCCCAGGGATGTGCCTGACACGGGAGCTGGCCAGCCAAGCATTATGTTTCAGGGACAAGGTGGGTTTAACTTGACGGCTTCCACAGTCGGTAGATATGTGCCAGAGGTCGCAAACGGGTTTTGTTTCCTTACCCGTACCCGTAACCAGCCGCACCAGGGTCACAAACGGGTACCCGTACCCGGCCGGGTAGCCGGGTATCGGGTACCCGGTTGCGACCTCTGATATGTGCATGCTTGTTAGCATCCATTTATAATGCCGCTCATAGTTCAGCAGAGCTGGTTTTTGACACCTTCCGGCAATGGCTGCTGTTGAGACAAAGTGGTCTTGCTTAGAATTGAAATTGCATTTATCTGCATGTCAACAGTGTCTAGTCCCAGTGGTGAATTTTGTACAACTCATATGTTGTACTTCTCTTGCCAACACCAAATTATTTTGTTTTATTCAGTTGTATTCTACTTGTACCTTTTCTGTCTTGTGAGATGTAGAACTTTCCATTTTGCCATCTTGAATTCATATCCGCACAATGATGCTTCAGTAATGGTCTTGGAAGTTGGCATCACCAAAATGCTTCTGAAGTCACTTAAATAGGCTCTGTTATTCACATTTGGGCCTCAAGTTTTATATGACCTGCAAAGAGTGGGGTCATTGAATGTTAAACTACAATTGTTACTTCTCAGAGGTGGAACTTTTCTAATTAAGTGAATACCCAGATTTCATTAAAAAGGTGTGTTCGTGCAGTCATCGGTTACCAACCTGAGCCCATCATCTCAGTCCACCTAAACCTCTCATTTAATCCCGGGTGAACACGGCACTGGTTTTAAAGGGATATACCCTTATTCTTGGTTCTTTCGGTAAAGTCATGTAGAAGGGAAATAATAAAATAATAAACATAAAACATTAAATAAAATTCTCATGACGTTTCGGCCACAACGCAAACAGCCGTCTGCTTGCGTTGTGGTCGAAACGTCGTGATAATTTTATTTTATTATGTTTTATTTTTATTATTTCCCTTCTACGTGACTTTACCGAACGAACCAAGAATATGAATCCCTGCAGTCACGAAAGCTTTAAACTGATACACCTTTGTAACTTAGCCGTATCATCATCAGGGAAGCGTGTTACACATATATGAAGGCTTTGTTAGCTCACAACTTAGGATGGGCCTGCACTGTGTACAAGGGAAACCAATGGTTAGGAATGTGAAGGCTTGTCATCGGATAAGATAAGCTAATGGCAAGGGTCTTCACTCCAGGGAAAGAGTATTGATTTGTACAGAGCAAGTCCAAATTGGATGAGGACCATTCCGCTGCAGGGATGTGCTCTGCAGGCATTTAAATTGCAGATGGTAGATGGTGAGGGTAAAGTACAAATACATGATTCTGATGAATTGACTATGAAATTAAAATATTAATCGTTCTTCTTGGTTCTTTCGGTAAAGTCATGTAGAAGGGAAGTAATAAAATAATAAAAATAAAACATAATAAAATAAAATAATTCTCTTCTTCACCTGAAGACGGCTGCTTGCGTTGTAGCCGAAACGTCGTGAGAATTATTTTATTTTATTATGTTTTATTTTTATTATTTTATTACTTCCCTTCTACGTGACTTTACCGAAAGAACCAAGAAGATGGATCCCTGCAGTCACGAAAGCTTTAAATCGAAATATTAATCGTTGTTATATATCCTGCTCGAATATTACAGCTATTTTAGTGTGTTTCCATTTTACGTATAATTATATATATTTTTTTTTTTTTATTAATTGTTCAGGCATTGTTGTTGTGCACTTTTGTAGGTCAATGAATTTCGGGAACTTTTAAACTTGGGAAAACTGTCGTTGGAAAATCAGCAGGAGGTAAGCACCAAAAGAGGCATCTCTCAACCTTCATAGAGCACCAGCTCTCGTGCATACAAGCACATGAGTGCGCTGCAGCGTGTGTGTTTACGAACAAATGTACAAATGAATATGATGGCATCCCGGTGATTAAAAACGAATTTCTTTAGAACTGATTTTTGTGTTTAGTTGGTTGTCCTTTTAACACGTAGGCTTTCGCGACCAATATTATTCATAATCAACGTTTTTGGGTTTAGATCGCGTTATTTATAAATGTGTCGTAACCCTCCACAACCCGACACGGCCAATCAGTAAAAAAGTGTCATGTTGACAAAAGACATAGTTCACTGCTATAGCCCACCGGTGTGTTGAAGCGTGAAACCACAAAAATTGTAAATGTTGTGGTTTCACGCTTCAACACACCGGTGGGCTAAAGCAGTGAACTATTTGTCTTTTGTCAACGTGACACTTTTTTACTGATTGGCCGTGTCGGGTGGTGGAGGGTTACGACACATTTAGAAATAACGCGATCTAAACCCAAAAACGTTGATTATGGTTGTCCTTTCCCCACACCCTCGACTAGCACGGTTGGCTGCGTACGGTGCGAAAGAAGTCCAGCATGCATACATACACACATAAGTCCTCTGGGTTCATTCACCAGGCCTTTGAACAGCTGAGGAGGGACCAGGATGTCCTAGAGCGGCAGTACATGGCTCGGAACGAGGAGCACCGAGCCCTGCAATTACAGACTAATCGCTGTGGAATGGCCGGACACTTTGATCCACACCGGTAAGGACCGTGTGATTGGTTTGAAATTCGTGCATGTGTGCGCTCGTTGTTTGATAGATGTTCTTTAATTGGTCATTTCAGTCGCTGTACGGAAGGCTATCGAACAAAGAAATTATGCAAAATCACTCGTGACAGGTTGCTCTGTCAAATAAAAGAAAGAGATGACAATTATTTGAGAACAGTTGAAGTAAGTGCCTTTGCTATGCAAGGTTTACTTGCATCGATTATGAGTGTTTTAAAATGGTAATATGACACTGCTGTATAATTTAATGTCGGAGCATTACCCATAATTGCCCAAGTCAGTGTAACCCTGTGAGAGTGGTCTCTCATGTGTGGAAGTGTGTACATGCCGTTTGGTTGGAATGGGAGGCAGGGGAAGCTCTTTCACCAAGCAAGGCATTGCAGTACACAATTAGGAAACTTTTTTAATTTACCAAGTAAGGCCCACTGAGCTATATAGCTCTTTTCCAGAAGCGACCTGACCACAAATGGTAGTCCAATCAAGTGGCTTATCACGTGTAAATGTATAGCAGCCAAATACTCTAAACGCATGCTGACTCTAAATGTGGTGGGAAAAGCCGGAGGACCCAGAGAAAAATCCACGCGACCACAGAGGGAACAGGCAAACTCTAAATATACGGGTGTCAGGGTCGGGATCAAACCCGTAACCTCCCGTATATCAGGCGATGTAGTTAACATCAGTGCCACCGTGGCGAGATGTTGTTGTGTTACTGTTTAGTGGGCCCAGGAATTAGTTTGGGAAGGGGGGTGGGAGAAACAACTGCAACATTGCAGATTGAGTTACATTGTAGCTCACCCTAAACCCAAGCGGTATGCACATAAACTCAGCAAGAGTTCTGCAATGCCAGTCTTTACACTCTCCCCGTGATAGTCCCATCTTTCATTGGATACTTGCGTTTATTGCAAATGTATTGTTGAAGAATGCCCACTGTGTGTACTTGTTATCAAGAATGCTGATCACGTAGAGGTCAATGAACACCTGCTGTTGAAGGTTCACTCTGAGGTTACGCGTGCTGGCGTGTAACGCGTCGCTTTCTTATCCGGCAGCGAGGTGGAAGGTGCGATTTTTCAGCTGGGGATGAGCCTGGAGGAGATGAAGGAGCAGATGGACGCGAGTCAATGCAGACCGGCGTCTCCAGACACAGCGGCGGCCTCCACGTCACTGTCGGCCACCGCTGTAAAGACACAGCGAGTCCCCAGCAGCCACTCTGAGGTAGCGCTGCGCCTCATGGCGGAATGATACCGTGAGATGATCGCGTGACACTTCACTCCAACTCTTATTTTATCCAACTGATTTGACTGTGTCGTGGATTTGCTGCTAAATAATCTGCTTGATTGAAGTGTAATTCTGCGTGATGTCATTTAAAACAGTATGGGTTGCATTTGAGACGTGTTCATGCGGGTTGATGTGAATGCAATGTTTACTGACGTAAAAAAAATTGTTGATGATTTTTAAAACTTAAGCAATGTTTTTGAGATGAATGTTGCAGATGTGAGCCTCCAATTATTTGTCAATTATTTGCTGGATGGAGGACCTTTCCATGCTATGTGGGTCATAGTGTTTGTTTTACCATACTTCAGCACGCTGGTTAGTGTGGCCTTTTGAAAGCAGACAGTACAGACATGGGCACATATAAGTACAAAACAACAATGCCTTTTGCTGTACTGCATAGCTGTGTGAGAAATCGTGTTTATTTTACCCGTTGAGTTGCCACCGGCACTGTGACCATTACAGAGTCCATTGTCCGTGGTTATCCACCAACACATCACCTTGGACCTTGTGGAAGGGAGCGAGACCGACGATGAGGTGGGGAGCGAGAGCATGGAGGAGAGAATGGGAGATCAAGAGAGCAGCAGAAGTGAGACCCACACGGAGCCCGGGGAGAGTGATAAAGAAGGAGGAGATACGGTGGAGGAGGATCGGGGATCGGCCCATGGTGGAGACTCGTCAGGGCTGAGCTCACAGAGGTTAGCAGACCTTGACTCTTTTCTCACCTCGCCATTTGATTACACCAAAGCCGCTGCGTTGACTACTTTGCAGTAGACGTGTAATGAATGATTTCTTGATTAAATGTTTGAAACTGCAATTGTTGAGGAAATGTATGCAAAGGTAGAGTATGCTCTTAATTTTAGTCAAAAGTAAACAAGCAGTATAGGATGTAAAGATTTGCTTAGCATTTCTTTGTACCTGTGAAAGATTGAGTGCTCTGTATATAGAATGTGGTTACAAGGCCAACCTAGCAACGTGCAAACAAACGCTTATCATTAACCTCCACGCTCTGTGAGATTTATACAGGGTTTACGGCGCATGGTAAGCAAGGGCTGTTTGTTGTGCATGTGCGCGATGATGTCTCCCGCGGTGGGCAGTTACCATCGCGGCTCCCAAGCAACGGGCAGGGCAGGGCCGCGCCAACATCGCAGCGTTGCAGCACCAGCGGGAAGGCAGCGCCGTGATCGGGCGCAGCTCCCCGACGTCTGGGCTCAAAGCAAAACGGACGACCGATCGCAGAGGTCCACGGCCAATGCGAAGGAAGATTCCAAAAGCAATACGTGTCGGAGTCGAGACATGGATGGACGGGAGGAGGATGAGTTGTTTGGAGGCTCGGGAAGGAGGGCGCCGACACCTCAACCGTACGTTACGTCTTGTCAAGGTCGCGTTATTTGTGTGTTTTAAGTTGGTGATGTAGGATGTGACTCTACTCTGAGATGTAATGTAACTTTGCTTATTTGTTTTGCGTCTGAAAAGGCACTCGCCTCTCCAGCCAAGTCAGCAGCCTCCTCTTCCTCTCAACGTGATGTTTAATTCTGTGGAGCCACCTTCTCTGTTTGCCGAGCACAGACACCAAAGAGACATGCAGTCTAAAGAGCATCCGGTGAGAATTTTTCCACCTTACTGTTTGATGTTTTCCTGGAGAGATTGTCTTGATGTCATTGGATGGCTTACTCCACTATTTCCACTGACCGAGTGTGTGTGATTGTTCTCAGAATCAAAAGACTACAGAAGCTGGAGAAATATCTCGGCACGTAAGCCATATCAGTCTTGCCAGCAGTGGAATCTCTTTGCAAGGGAGCTTCGATAATTTCCAGCGACACAGACATTCCATCAAAGAGGTGCATTTTTTTTTTTTTACTTAAGTCATCTCTGAAATCTGTTTCCCCAGTAGTTTAAAAAATATATAATTGCATCATCAAATTGTGCCAGATGAAGAAACCCTCAGAGACATCATTATTGAACAATTAGTGCTCTGTAAAATGTACAAGAAACTAATGTGCCAACATCACCTTCATAATTGAATGTCACCTCTGCATGAGACTAGTTTAGATGTGCACACACAAGCATTACTTCTCTTGGCGAGTCGAGGCTTGCCTTTGAGATTGAATCCCTGAGGTCACAGTGCTGTATGTGTGCAGTGAATGCTAACCCTGCACCTACGCGTGATAGCCATGTGACAGCTGTTCTCCTCTGCTGCTCCCAAAGTCTGAAATTATGGAGGCAGGAAATCCCTTCCACTATGCAATCCATGTTTTTGACTGCCTGCTCCTGTTCAAGTCCAGGATAAAGACCTTTTCAATGGCCTATAAATGTTTCTCTCCGAAATATATACGCTTACTTTCTGAATAGAGTTTCGCTCACATTTAGATGCTATATAAATTTAAATTGTACCGTGTATAAATGTGCACTGTGTTGTATGTGCAGCTGTGGTTTGAGCCTGTTTGCTCAACACTTTTGCAGGAGCGCGTGATTTCTCCCGAGACAGACAGTGGTTTCGTTGGCTCGGAGAACGGGAGGATAACTGGCAGGGCCTCGAGTCTGGCTGAGAGTCTGCGTCTCACTGCAAGGTAACAGAGCTGCTATCTCAGTTTCTGCCACCAGTGGGCAGGAGCTTCCTGCTCACTGGATGGTCGGTGAAACAAGCCGAGCAGTTGTGTGTTTGCTTATTGCAAAGGTTTGGTATGAACTGCTTGTAGCATCCACCCTACTTAATCGTGCAGGCATATTAACCCAAAATGTGTACCATTTGCTTCACAATACGCTTTAAAAATCCTGTGACATATTCCGAATTTGACAAATTAGAATAGTAATCACAAATGAATTAGGTAAAGCCACAAAGCAACATCGTCCTATAAAACTACTAAATACTATAACCGTGTGTGAAATATAGTGCCTTATTGATAGCCTCGTGCTGTAAGATAGCACAATGCCAATGATAATTTTAATTTGTTGTCCTAAGATTATTTAAAGTCGACGTGAATCGTGACTTGAGCCGTGACGATCGCACTGCAATGGGGGACGAATTGTCACATGCCCTCGTCACTGCTGCAGAGAGTCCTGCGCCTTGGGTAACAGCACGAGCATCCGATTTAAAGCTTTCGTGACTGCAGGGATGCATCTTCTTGGTTCTTTTGGTAAAGTCACATAGAATGGAAATAATAAAATAAGACAAATAATTATTTTATTATGTTTTATTTTTATTACTTTATTATTTCCATTCTACGTGACTTTACCGAAAGAACCATAACATGAGCATCCGCTTTGTTAATTCCCCTCAGGAGCAGCAGCTCCCACCCGTCTCTGCCCGAGGAGGAGTGCGAGAGCGACGCCCCAGCTGTTGCACCGGTGTTGGCGGAGCCTGCGCGGCAACGCGGGGTCTGGCCCGACGCAGAGGCCAGCGAGGCGGTGGGAGCGCACGGACCGCGCGTGGCACGCAGACCCGGTGCGTCCTCAAGCCGGTGGAATGCGAGCGCGGCGAGCGACTGGGACTCGCGAGGCCGCCAGGGTGAGGACCCGCAGGGTACATACACCCGCAAAGAAAACGATCACAGAATATTGGAGCGCGTCCTGTGAGCGAGCACCTATTATTGTTGGCAAGGCACATAAGGAGATGGAGTGGCCAGTACCGTGCCTGGCAAGCTTTGTCTCCCCAGTGCTGATATTTGAGATAACGTTCCGGGTACTCATTTCAGGCTGAGTCGATCAAGCCCAGGACTGATACAGATAATTGCCACTGATGTTAGTTGTGGCCGATAATCTAACTCAGGTTGCCAGGTTCATAGCACACTGCCACAAACACATGTCTGTGCTCACTACTTTTCGTAATGCACATGCCAGACGTGAACACTCATGCTTATAATCTTGAAGTTAAACAGTGCTGAGTCTGAATAGGATTTGGATGGGTAACAGCACCATGCACAAACAGCTTTGGGCACTATGTGGTGAGCAGTAGAGGGCAGTACAGCAAAATCTGTTGTATATTGCTTCGATGCTTCCACGACTATGCGTAGTGCCTTAGCCAACCCGCACTGACCACCATGGTGAAATGTGGTCAAATAACCCTCACTACCCACACGGGCGTGGGGAGATCCCGATCCAGCATTTGACTGATAAAAAAAAAAATCAATCTGTAATGCACTTTAATATTGCAGCGTTTGTCGCGGAGGGACGTTTCTAAAATAACGCCTCGCTTGACTGATTCTTTAGGTCGAGATAGATTGGACGATTTGGAGCGTGAAGACGTCTGCAGTCTGGATGGATTTCCCTGTCGTCCACTGAAGAGAGCAGAATTGGGCGACCTTGACGGAGAACATCCCAGGGGGAACGCGGCGTGGAGGTGAGTAGGCCAAACACACTTGTCACGCCTGACTTATTTGTGAATTGAAAAAAACTCAATAACACTGCCTTCAAAGAACAAAGTAGAAATATTTGGTCACATTTCGGGTGATAGCCCTTCTTCACAGCAGGGCCATTTCCTGGAGAAGGATCATTGCCTACAACGTCGCAGATATTATATATGCACATATTTTAAGCCGGTTTTATTGTCGAATTCGTGTTTTTGTTTCGTGTGCTTGTGCACTGCTGCCAATGAAGCGTGTCACCACATCACTTCTACACTGTAGCTACGCGTCCATCTGTCTGTTGAAATATATTGACAGTCTGATCAATACCCAACTTCTGTTTGCAGTGTGGTTATTGTTAGCACTGTCGAGTAATGTGCGATTCCATGATCACAAGAGTATTTCTTTTATTTTCAATCTGGGATATAATACACCCCTGAAATGCTAAATCATTCAGCATTCAAGATTCTTAATAAAATCATTCTCACGACGTTTCGGCGTTGTGGCCGAAACATCGTGAGAATTATTTTATTATGTTTTATTTTTATTATTGTATTACTTCCCTTCTACGTGACTTTACCGAAAGAACCAAGAAGATGAATCCCTGCAGTCACGAAAGCTTCAAATCGAAATTCAAGATTCTTTCAGGGAACTGAGTAAATAGTGTTGATTAAACAATTTCTTGGGCTTTCTGCCTCGTATGAATATTTATGGAGCAGATATTTAAAAAAATATGTAAGATATAAATGTGTCTCTTTGTCAGTTCTGTTGAGAGGACTGTGTTATTTGATTTATTCAGCTCATGGGCATTGTATATGAGGTGTGATGACCCATGAAAACGATTATTACAGTCAGCACTTTGTTCCTATTCATCAGGATTATTTTAATTCGCGTGTACAATTTGATGACGAGTACATTTATTAGTAACATTAAAACCTCTTTATAATTTGTCTGTTGAGTCTGAAAAACAAGTAATGTACAGTACTTTGGTCTGGGTATAATTTACATGTCCTTGATTAAAAGTTTCTGAGTGCATGTGTGTTACTTTTAAATGATTGCTTATGACACAAATAATTAAAAATACCCGTAGTTGCGTCGCTAAAATTATACTCTTAGGTTTTTTCCCCTCACTTAGTACAGTAAATTCAGCTGTGACGGTCCCACCTGATGATGGAGACTTGTGTTGCCTCCGAAACGTCGTGATTTATTATTTTATTTGTATTATTATAAAGATTTTTATTAATAATTATTGTTATCATTTTTTTTTTACCTACGTGACTTTACCGAAAAAACCTAAGAGTATGAATCCTTGCAGTCACGAAAGCTTCAAATCTAGAACGCTAAAATTATGTTGGGACAATGACATGAGGAGACATGGGAGGGGTTAATCTGACACCAGCGCACGGCAGTTGACGGCGTGGCTGACAGGCCTTAATCCGGACCCAATTGTGCCCCGAGCCAAGGCACTGCTCATTGGCTGCGGGCTTTATCCAGTGATCCAGTGGCTTCTGCCTTTGTGGAGCCTCGCACATGCTCAGTAGGGCACTCAACCCAGCCGCGCCGTAGCACACACACACGCTCGCTCGCTTGGCTGGCCGGCATCCCCGTCATGTGATTGCAGTCGAAGGTCACCCCTTTTTGTCCGGAGGCGAGAGACGTAGCCCTGTCCGCGCGTTGCGTGCGTGGAGCGACGCTGAGAGCGAGGCAGCTCGCGGCCGAGGCTGATATCACCGTGTATGGAATGGCATCAATGGAGCAGGCACCAATTATCACACGCTATTTTGAGAGTCTGAAGGCCTGCTCTGCTCTAAGTGATCATATGATGGTGACAGAGTAAGTGCTGTATACGCCCACATGTGTGATAAGTGCAGCATGCCTGATAATTTTTCTCCTTTTTTTAGAAAAAAAATATCTGAACAAGGGCTGCATTAATTTTGGTGTGGATTTAAAATACCATGGCTATGTTTTTTGAATATTGATTTAATCGTATTTTTAGGCAGTAATGTTGGTGTCTCAATATTAATAATATGTAAGATGTTTTGTGTTATTCAACAGTTTAACACAGCAGCCATTTGTGTTGTGCATTTGCATCAGCTGCTGCGTTGTTTGCTATCATTCCATGGTAGCCTCATGGGTCATATGAGAAGGGTGGCTGAACGAGTCTGGTAATTGGATAACCGACACTAATGCATTCTGCACGTTGATTCGTTTCGGAATGAGCTGCAGTGACCAAGAATGGCAGCCCATCATTCATTAATCAGTTTTTGGAAACAAAACCATCAACCTCTATAATGTATGTGTAGTTAACAAAGGATACTGCTTCAGTAAAGTTCTTACTATTCTCAGTCACCGTTAGCTAATGGGCATTCATGAATAAAAATTATAATTTTGTGCTGAGCCCACCACATGAAATGCATGTGTTTGCAAATAATTTCTAAGGAGAATGGAATGTTTTTTGTGGGTGGTGGATTATTTTTCATGTTATTTGGATATTAACTCAAACTGCAACGAAATACGGCATAATTATTCTACGCTCGCAAACCTGAAATATTAAATGTATTACATCAAGGGAAGAACACAGTTAAACCCTTTATGGGAAGGCACTCAATACCCGTGTTGTTTTGCAGAAAAGGAAAACAATTAAAGCACCTCCAATGAAAATAGTTTCGTTTTATTTTGAGGTCTCGGATTTATTCCTTAATTACTATTGTCACATTTTTCCTATAACTTTATTTTCCTGAAAACATAAGAAGCATTTTACTCCAACAACAAATCCTCACTTCTTGTAAAGAAAATAACTAATTCGCGGATTAGCAAGTCAAGACCGTCAAGCAGGAACTGTAATAATAAGTGTCGATGCCAGAGCCAGTAGCCGGCTACCCGTACCCGGCCCGGTACGGGTACCCGTTTGCGACCCTGGTGCGGCCAGGTACGGGTACGGGTAGACCGTGAGTCACTGGTGAGTAACTGTTTGCCACTCATTTCCCAATGTCTTGTCTCTTCTCACAATTCAAGTTCCTAGAATCAACCCACCCGCGTCTGCAACATGGCTTCATCCCAGAGGTCGTAATCAGGTACCCGATACCCGTACCCTACCCGATACCCGTACCCTACCCGTACCCAGCCGGGTAGGGTACGGGTACCCGTTTGCGACCCTGGTGCGGCCGGGTACGGGTACGAGTAGAGAATCAAAACCCGTTTGCGACCTCTGTGACACAGTGCGTTTTCCTTGCTGCGTGTGAAGCCGGGCGGCTAACGGGCTGCAGAGCGAGGATGGCGACCCACCGTCGCGGCCGTGGGAACGCCCCCACAGCGACGACCTCGCGGCAGCAGCAGATGGATCGGTGCTGCGGGGTCCCAGCGAGGAGGTGGAGGCAAGGGAGCCGGGCGTCACACCCCGAGCGAAACGAACCCCGTCTGAAGGGGCCTACCCCGACCTGAGTCGCCTCTCCGTAGGCCCGTAAGCCATCTCTTCTCTACGGCCGAGGCATCGGGCTATCGCGTGATGACAGGGTGCTTGCAGCCACTCGTCCATCCAGTTCAAAAACTCACAGCTCGCTGTGCCCACTTTTTACATTATGGCTGATTTAGAACTTAAAGCAATATTGGTTTAATAAACACTCATCGTTTGTTTATATAACATCATAAAGGTATGTTGTTTAGACCCAGACCATAACATTAACTGCTCGCAATGTACATAACAGTTTAAGGGCAGTAGGTTTTAAATAAATAACAATATGACCTCATTTATAAGACTATTATCGTCTCATTTATAGTGCTGTTAACGCACCACAGATCAATACAATGTTCCCGCTGTGCCGGAGACGCTACTTTTGACATCGTCCAAGTCATCACGTTCTATATCACAATACTGTAGTACCTTTTAACACAGACACACGTTGTTGATGTGCCTCTGTTTTGATCGACAATTCGTACACCACGCGCACCACGACTGCGTGTTAATTATTTACGCTTGATTCTAAGACAAAGGCAAGGTAATTTATATAAGCGCGCTTGTGATCGATTTTCCCGACGTTCCAGGAGGAGAAGAAGTAAGACTGCCGCACGGCCAGAGGTGAAAAGCATCCCGCGATCAGAACCGTGGACTCCCCGCTTGCGCTCTTCTCGAGCCACCCTCTCCCTGGCTGACCTGCGGCACCGTGAGTGCGGTGGCACAGATCCACTTCAGCCCAACAGTATATGAGAGGCACAATTGGAAGTGGTGGCAGAAACCCTCCCCCCCCACTGTTTTTTGGATTGATAAGAATAACCATATGGGTGACGAACAGCTACAGAAGCTGCCCGTCCGCTAACACACGATGGCAGCGATTGTTATGTGCATCTTATTAAAACAGCTACATCTTTCAGCATGTGTGGGTGGGAAGATACATATATAACATATTAATGAAATGTTTTAATCTGATTTGTTCATTTTCTATAACCAAGACTTTATATAGAATGACAATGGTTGTACACTATGCTTCCTTTGTCTGTCACGCTGTCATTAACAGCGTTTGCAAAGCTTGTGCAGTGTTTCATTATTTACTGAACACTTATTCATCCTCGTATCACATGCTACAGACGTTACTTAAAATAATACAGCCACAATGTGGCTCCTTAAACAGTTAGTGTATATATTTATTTTTCTCATTGTGGCAGAATTGTGCCAGAGAGGCGCCACACACGTGTCTAAGCAAAAATAAAATTGCCTTCCTGACATCGAGAGTGAACGATTGATCCCGCACGTTTCACGCCCCCTCCAATCCCTTGCCCCCCCCCCCCCCGAAGGCGACGAGGAAGCGGCGGTGACCCCCACAGCCTCGCCGCCTTGGGCCACTCCCCCACGCCGAGCAGCCACGCGGGGGCATCAGTCGCGCGACCACCTGCTCGCCGGACCCTACAGCGGTACCAGCAGCACTGGAGGCCAAACAACATTAGGTAGTTTTTTTGGAATGTGCCAAATTAATCGATGCCAGGTAAGAAAGGCAACCTCCTTAAGAACCAAGTAGGTCAACAAACGGTGGACGTTTTTCTTGGACTTCTGACAATCGAGCTGCCCATTTATATGTCTGACAGTTTGTGGCATTCCACTGTAAGCGATTGAAAGGTTGGGTCAGCTTGGTCTTTGCCTTGCCCCCCCCCCCTTATGCCCCAAAGCCTGGTGCCTAATTTGCGTTTTTTTCTTCCTAGGTGTGGATTACAAAAGTTTCCCTCCAGGCAGACCGTCTGGAAAATTGTTTGAGAGTGACCATCCCTGCCCGAGGTGTTCTTCAAAAGGTGAATGATTTAATTTCATCTACATTAATGTGCTTTGTCACTTGGTAACTGGCCCCGGCAGCACCCCTATGAAGCAGTTTAGGAGTGTAATTGTATAGGCCCGAGTAAAGTAGCCTTAATGACATCAGCCACCGAGGTGAAGTGATGGAATCATCTTGTGTGGCAGTGCAAGGTGGATTGTTAGGTCACAGCACCGTGAGAGATGGGCAGAGCATGGGGAGGCCTTAATCCAGCAGTGGTTTGATCATGGCTAACGATTATCGTAGTTTTTCATAGCTCTTGTTTTAAAAGACCTTGAAATAGTGAAGACTGTAACCTTCCTGTCATTCAAATGCCTTAACATGCAATTTCCCCCAGAATTTTATTTATTTATTACACAGTAAAGACTAGTGCCGTCAATGTTAATTTGCGTATTGTTTTGATTTGAAGCCAGATATTCCTGAAATGCAAGACTGCAGGATTTTTTTTTAATGTAGTGCCTTATCAGTGTGCAAATCATCAGTTTGAAGTATAAGCGTTGCTGACACTTGCTGTGAACTTGCTGAGGATGTTGTATTTGCCATGCTCTCTGCTCAGCCAGGACATCAGAGAGACATTGGGACAGCGGGACAAAGAGGCTACTTTGTCCCGTCTGCAATGGTTCCGGGGTCTGCATTGAGTCGAGTAGCCACCATGAAGATGATCCGGGTAGGGGCGGTGGAGAAAGTTTAACGCGCAGTGCATTTATTTGCTTGGCTCTTGCTGTACTTCCGCATCACTTTGTGCAAAATACTCGTAGACGAAGGTGAAATTATGATTCTGGAAACTCTTGCCTATGGACGAATCACCTGGAATTTTGCTAGTCTCTTAAGATCTCAGAAGTTAAGTAGGTTTGAGCCTGGATAGTGCTTGGATGGGTGACCACCATGCATAAAACAGGCATTGTAGTCTGCTGTGGGGCTGTATTGTCAGCAGAGGGCAGTGGAGAACATATATTGTATCACTCTAATGTTCTCCAATGTGATAATTGGTTTTTTAACCCTTTTATCTGGCAACAAAACTGACACCTTTTTTACAAGGAGTCATGTTTGCATTGACCACAATACCTGCGGTCGGAATGCAAAAAAAAACACAACTCTGATAATATGTGCACTATCCTAGAAATTGATTGGTCCATACCCGAGACAGCTTTTCTTAGAGCCTAGTCTCACATGGTGTTGGACCAGATGACGCCAAAAGGCGCACAACTCAAAGACAATGCACCATCAGACTATGAGAGCTCGGGGTAAGCATTTACAACCATTAGAACCTCCTTTGCTAGTAGCAAAATATGATCATTGTTTTTTTTACCCTTTTATCTGGCAACAAAACTGACACCTTTTTTTACAAGGAGTCATGTTTGCATTGACCACAATACCTAAAACCAATTATCATATTTTGCTACTGGCAAAGGAGGTTCCAATGGTGTTCTCCAATATGTTTGCTCACCTGCCTTCCTTCACCAACTCGCACTTCACCAACACCATCCCCTTGGCAGGACAGCCATGTGCAGCCGTGACCCCTTCATGAGTCCATTGGAGGACATTTTGGTGACACTATCGAGTTTAATTTCACAGGCGGATGATTTCCATTCACCAGTCTGGTGAAGTACTGTATTTCGACAGCCTATAATTTAAAAGCTCATTTATTTCGTTTTTTTGCAATATGAGAATCAACAATGGGAGGATTCGAATGGCATTTCTCAATCTGTTTTCGCAGTGCTGGAAGAGCTGAGGGATGAGACGGAGCACTCGCCTCAATCGAGGAGGCAGCGGCACAGCGAAGTCTATCCAGGGCTCTACTCGGGGTCCTATGTCTACCCAGCATTGTGAGTGCCACCACAACGCCAACAAGAAGGATTTCCACTTCAGTAGAGCTCTCGGAAAAGCCCGTGGCGTCTTAGGCAAATTCGCGAGCATTGTCGTTTTTGGGAAGTTCTCAAGCGCGCTGTTTAAATGCAAACGGGGTCCTGTGTAGGACTTGGCGTCCCCTTGGCGGTACAGCCATGTGTCATGTCCTCTTAATTAGTCCATTTGAGAGCATTTTGGCAACACTATCGAGTTTAATTTCACAGGCGGATGGCTTTCATCAAGTCCAGTGTTCATTGTCACTTCCAAAGTAAATTACGTAGGCTGTAAATCTGCCGGCCCAATCTGCACTCCCGCCTCACTGGTGCACAACGGAGGCGCGGAGCACACACGCTGGGGGCGCGTGGATCGCATGCTCGCGCATTATCGGAGTTACATTCACACCTGCCTCCAATCTCAGCCGTGCTGATGTTTACAGTACCATGACCACTGCCTGCAGACGAATCATGTAGTCGTAGCATCTTGTAGCCTTGTGTTTAGTGGATCATCTTTGCTTTGCAATTTGTTTGGAAGAATGACGAGCTATTGTGTTTTGTCGCTTGCATGGCATTAATTTATTTACTTAAGACCTTGTTTCATCATAAATGCTGCTGCGCTTGTATAGCAGGTGCAAAATAAGCAAGACTTTCTAGATTGAAACTCATTTGCAATTTTTGGTATCATTTCACTTGAAAGTATGTCTCGTGGCTGTTCAATACAAGTTCTAGTCTCGTTGGGTATATAACAAAGCATGTAACAATTCTCCTGTCATGTGATTCAATGAATCGTCATGAATTGGGGGTCACGATTTAATAATTTTCTTTTACTTTTGAGTGTAGTGTCCCACCCCTAATTGCTGCAGGGGTTCCATAAACAAATTAGAACAAATGTGAAATAATATATTCCCACAAAATATTCTATACTGTACATTGTGCGCTTAAGAATTGATAACCAATGGATGCAACATTAAATTCCTGATATCTTGCAAAAACCTGTGTTAACAATCATAAACTCGGGGAGTTGGACATTACATTGTATTACACTTAATTGGGGGATGGAGTGATGGTGCAATGGTGAGCAGACTACACTGAACCCAGCAACCTAAACTTGATTCGCGATCATGGATAATATCGGTAGTGAGTGATATCTGGACTGGTCCTATCAGAATATTTATATTGGAGGAATCTGATGAGCTATAAAGCTCTTTTTTCACAGATGTCCATTTGGCTTAGGGGCCGTCCATAAATGACGTCACGCACCTGGGGTGTCAGACATTTGTAACGAGGGGGGGGGCGGTTTGAGAAATGTGACGTCACATCAAAATGCGCAACTTTTAAGAAATATAGACAACACGTTCTACTTAACTAAATATACTTTTTGATACATGTTTTCTCCTACAACATCAGAGTGCAGCGCCACATTAAATACGCACTACAATGACAATAGCTTAAAGTGATTTGAAGCATGTTTAATTTTTTGGGGGGGAAGGGGGGCGGCAAAGCTTTGTGACGTCATATTTGAGGGGGGGGGGGGGGTCTGACTTTTTGTGACGCCAAAATCGCGTGAGGTCATTTATGGATGGCCCCTTAGATCCTAAGCCCTCCTTCACCAACCTCCACTGACCAGCACGTTGTAGTATGATCAAACGACCCCCATGATCGGTGTGGGGAGGCCCTCATTCAGCATTGGTTTGACAAAGTGATGTGACAGCAATGTACAGTCCACGATTGGCTTCCGCAACAGCCGCGTGTGTGGCTTCTATGCAAAGGGAAAAGATGGCTGGTTTTTAGGCAGAGAGGGGGGATGCGGAGCCGTCTAAACTGACCATGCCCCCACATGCATCAGCAGATACGGCCTGCCCTCAGCGCTGTACGTGTCGCCGTATCACTCCCGCTTCTACCTGCCGGATCCACCACCCAGGAGCCAGGTGCGCCCACGCGGAGTCAGCAACGGCCGGGCACGCAGCGAAGACATCGGCGTGGTAAGGACGCGACGCCACGCAACTGTCCGCATGAGTTGTTGGTGTGGTGTTGCAATGAGGGTTTTTGTTGGTGTCATAACAGCTCCACACCTCTGTGTGAGTTTCCGCAGGAGCATTGTTCGTGTGTTGTCCTAGCAGTTCCACGCAAGTGTTAGAATTATGGACGATGTGTGACCCACAGGTGAGAGCGGAGTTTAGCGCTGCTGATGTCCTGGGTATGAATTCAGGTTTCAGCCGCCTCTTGTTAAACCGGATTCTCAAGTTACTCGATTGGTTTCATTGCGGTCAACATCACGCGACAAAAAAACATTGCAATAAATCTGGCTATGTATTTTGTCGCTAAATTCTAGCTCTGAATTTAAAATGGCAGCGACTGTGGTGAACGTTTTCAAGTAGGGAGGGTGTTAAAGTGTTTCCCCCCAACTTTACTGTCTGGAACGGAGGTCACTTGAAGGGATTTCAGAGGTGCTGTAATCTACACAGGATTTCGCTGCTCTGGAAAATATCTTGATAAGCTACTGTCTAGTGGCGCAACACCTACAGCACAATCGGGCTACAATAAGGGAGACAACATTCCAAGCAAACAATAATTATTCGTGTTGTTGTAATTGCTCCACGCCATAGCCTACGTGTAAAATGTCCACGCGAGCATCGTCGAGTGTTTTTGTAACACCGTGGGGTGCTGTGTTCCCAAGTCCTGGCAGGGCTCCGGGCGGGATCTATGCAAGTCTCTGGACTGCGCCATCAGGACGGCCGAGGGGATGCGGCGCACCAGCCAGAGGATGGTGGAGTTCCTCTCCAGGGATATCGCCCATGTGCACGCCACACACCAGTTCCTCTTCCGCTGACACCGCGTGGCGTCGTGCGCTCCGTAACCACTGTTGGCGAACTCACGCTGGATGCCGCGGTGGGCATCTTCACACTCTTTGTGGTACAGTATCACGGCAAGGCGTAGTGGTGCACGCCCGCGATCAGGCACTTTGGGAGGTCAGGGTTGGTGGTGGAGCACGAATATTCGTTGAATTACCATACCCGCAGAGCTGCGATGTGGCTTAAGAGATGGCAGTACTGGAAGCGGGGTTTATGAGAACATCTGTGTGAACCTTAGTGTTATTGCTTCGTATGCCAGGTATTCCTTTTCGCTCCCACAAAGCACTCGATGAAAATTGAGAAAACATCTCATGAAAGTTGAGAATTAGCGAGGCTTTCCTGGATAATTACATTGTTACAACTTACATTCCAAAGTATTTGGTAATGCTTGTTGAGACAGTCATGTTGGACCAAGGCCCATTGAGACATGTCTGTAACGGCATTGTTAAGTGTTTTATGGCGATTAGGTGCACAGCTTGTATTACCATACTGTTAAATTTCAAAAGTGCAACACCCTTGCCAGAAATATGATGAAATGCAACTCCCCATTTTTCCAGTTGCAAGAAGAGTATTTATTGTTAGGTCGTACTGCAATGCAAACTATTGCATAGCTTTTAGAGCTCTTAATGGTTGTCAATTTTATAGCTCTTTAAAACCCATCAACTCTCTGAACTAGTCATTTAAACTTCGAAACATATGGCCATACGAGCCACGCAACAACACCATTTAAGTATTAAATTATGGCATCCGGTGCCTTCATCAGTTCAGGAGTTGCAACGTTGCCTTCAGCACATCTTATCCTGTGTAATACATTGAATAAGACAAACACTTAAGACAATCAAATGCTGCTTTAACGGTTCCAATACATTTTTACAGTAACAATTGTATTTACGGATATTTTAAATACGGGGATTGCAAAGACAAAAGTTTTGCACTTGAGGTTTTTTGTAATGAAAAGTGTTTTAAGGGGTTTTCTTCTACATTTTATTTGAGATTCAACAGCATTTACCAAATGTTTTAAATTATTGAATTTGATAAAAATGTACATGTACACTTTTTGACTTATTGTAATAAACTTGACGATATTTCCAGTTTGGAGTGGTACATTTTTTAAAAGTATTCCCCCCACCCAAAAAAAAACAACTTATTAGTTAAGCCCCTAAATGTGACAACTCAGTTTTTTTAATAAGTAATTTGGCTAGGGTCAAGTCCGTTTACAAAGATGTGGGTCTTACGCCAGAAATTAGTTACGTAAAATACTGTCCCAAGATGATCAGTATCTAGAGACATCAATTGAATCCTATAAGTGGTTCCCAACCTGTGGTTCACAAGGCTCTGGGGGGGGAGCACGTGGGGCTGTTCCAGGTACTGCGATTATTTTCTTCACATAACACCACGTATTTTATTGCCCATTGCACATATTTAGATGTAAATAAAGTTTTTTCACGGCTTTGAATTAACATTTTGGAGCACTTTGCATAGTCTTCATTATGTAATAGTATGTTAATAATGCATGATCCAAGGTTCGTTCCATGTCATTAGCACTGAACAACTCAATTCCTCCCAACTCATGCCCATCCTTCATAACACACCGGTGGGCTAAAGCAGTGAACTATTTGTCTTTGTCAACGTGACACATTTTTACTGATTGGCCGTGTCGGGTGGTGGAGGGTTATGACACATTTATAAATAACGCGATCTAAACCCAAAAACGTTGATTATGAATAACATTGGTCGCGAAAGCCTACGTGTTAAACTCATGCCCATCCTGATTCATGAGTGGTCTGAGCCCACAACGGTTGGAACCACGCCTCTGTCTTGACTTAAAGCTTTCGTGATTGCAGGAATTCATAATCTGAGTCTTTCGGTAAAGTCACTTTACCGAAAGACCCAAAGAACACGACTCTAAGTTAAGCTTCTTCACAGTGCCTGTGTACGTTTCTGACAATTACAAAGCCCCAGTGTTGAGCGGTAATGATACTTGGCTGAATGTTTGGCAATCTAAGTTTCTTACACTTAGGACTCATACACCTAACAAAGAACAATCATATTCTTGGTTCTTTCGGTAAAGTCACGTAGAAGGGAAAGCAATAAAATAATTTTTTTTAAAATAAAAATTCTCATGAAGTTTCGATTGCAACACAAGCAATCATCATCAGATGTGAAAACCACCTGATGATGATTGCTTGTGTTTTATTTTTATTATTTTCCCTTCTACGTGACTTTACCGAAATAACCAAGAATATTAATCCCTGTAGTCACGAAAGCTTTAAATCAAGAACAATCAATTTAAATGTATATAAATGTTTCCTTTAGCCTAATAGGCAGAAGGAATGAGTAAAGAAATGACACAAACTATATACGCAATGGATACAAGGAGAAAGCATATCGTATAAACAAGTGCAGTACAAATGTTAACCAAATTGGCGGCCCAGAAATTAGCAGAATCAAATCATAAGGGGGGGTGGGGGGGATTGACGAGTGTTATGCCTGACAGGTCCAACCCTGCTCAACCGCTGAGATGCGATGGTCAAATTCCAGGGTAGCACAGGCACAGACGTAATCTCTTTGAAAGACATGGCATAAGCATGATTAGGTTAAAGAATAACAGCTCACACTTAAGTGGTGGTGAAGCCAGAATATGTATTTAATTTCTTTAGAAACATCTATTGCACCATTGCACAGAAATCAAGCCGATACATGACGACACCGCATCCATATACAAGCACAAAAACATTACACCCAAAAACCACGCACCGATCAGACTGCCCATGGTACACCACATGAACATCAAAGTAGCTCCTTTCAAAGCACATATATTCACAAAGCAAACAGATATAAAATAAATCTGAAGCCACAAATGCATGCCTGTCAAAAGACATGAAAAGTAAAGATTTCAAAAAGGCAACACTAAGTCACATGTGTGGTGTTCAGCGAAAACTTACTCTTCAAGTAATGCAGCTGGATTTATGCCTGCTCACCTATAGTACATGAGTGGAGAGAAAAAAAGCATAGTATTTCAAAGCATAACGGCCTCTTGTGCTTTAACCTTTGGCTTGTATATACTGCCTACCTGGATAGCAAAGGTCGTAAGTTATGCCTCCATATATATTGTATGCAAAAATCAAAGAAACCATGTTTACCTAAATAAATTATGATCAGCAAAAGGTATAAAGTAGCAAGTAAAATAAAATCTAACTTGATAAAGCAATACAGTAATAACAATATTTAAATAGTTTGACATTTTAAGTCTTGGAATTTGATGTCAATTAATGGTGGAGTATTCTCACAAAGTTGGAATCTAATTTCCTATGATTTCCCATAAAAGCAATTCCCTTTGGTCCAAACAGTCTGAATGTCTCCCTGTTATTTGAGTCAAGGACTTGACTGCAGCTCTTTTGTACAGCCGTAGACCATACTCGGGTCAGCGAATCCAATCGCCCGTGCCAGCCCACGTCATGATGCCCCTCGCTCAAAATATTCCCACTCGTGAGATGGCGTCAACCCCCAACTGCTGGAAGAAAGCCGCATTAACAAAGCAACGCTGAACACGGTTACTGCGTGCTGTGCTGTGCCAACAACTGCTGAAAGGGGACTAATTGTTCCGTTCAGTAAACACTGCAATGGCAGCTTCGTGGTCCTGCTTAAGGGCCTGGAAAAACAGGCCTGGAGTTTTAAAAGTGAGGCCTTCATCACGCAAGGCTGTCACGCGAATTTTCATTATCTGACCACCGCTTTCAGGATTGCTTGTAATCGTCACTGTGAATAATGCACTGTTGTGCTCTTTGTGCATACATTGTTTGCACCTCGATAATACTAGCTTAAGGTTTATTTCGTCGGTTTCCTGAAGGCAAAATTGTGCCGTTTTTATACAAATCAAAATGCAATTAATGCGAGACACTTGTGAACGTAAAAATGAAAGGCCAAGCCATTTGCGACATGTTCATGCAATAAGAAAGCCCCATTAACACACACACACACTCTCGTTTACTCACCGGATAGCCGGTACTTCATCTCGCAACTATGTGCCACTTAGTCAGCAGCACTAACTTTTGAAAAAATAACTGCGTGGCTCACACGTGTCTACAAATACACACAATAGTGAGGCATCTTGCGTTGTCATGGTCTAACAGGTTGTACTTACACCACGAGCAAGCACACTGTGCACAACATGTGTTCTAGAAGGCAATAAACAGTATAGAAGAATAAACAGTCAATGCATATGTGTGTGTGTAGGGTACACCAAGCACGATGATGGCACGGTTACTGGGCTTGTACTGCAGTTTTAAGCCTCAAACATTCATACTTTACTGGCAACGCAGCCACCTGACGATACGGAGATTTACGCACATTGAAGTGGTTAGCGATTTATTTATGCTTATCTTTCATTCATACCAATTATCTGCACTCCAGTCTTGTAGCAGTTGCTTGTTTCTTTTAGTTTTTTTACCCGTCGCCAGGTAAGACTTTCAATTTCCAACCTAGCTTCCGTTTTCCTCGTCCGGTTTGTTCAGTTTCTTCAGGTCATCGAGGAGCTTCTTCGGAGTGAGGATGTGCGTGGACCCTGCAAACGCAAGAACACACGAGCACATACTAACCTAACAGTGAATACTAATTTTGCTTCACCTAAAATATCAAAAATAAAACAATCATTAGTTAAAGGCCAAAGCGGTTGCCCCACTACAGGGCTTACATACAAGTGCTTTTTATTGACAGAATATTCGAAATTATATTCTCCACGGGAGGCTCCAGCCTTGCCCGAGGAGCTTTACAAACATAACAGAATCATAGGCAAATAGGGCAAGAATGTATGAGTGAGGTGGGGGTGGGGGGAGGGCATACGTAACGTACCAATGAGCACCTCCCACTTGCCATTGGCTTGGGTGACCTCGTAGGCACATCGCATCTCGGAGAAGGAGACGCCACCGATGATGAAGACGATGAGGCGAGGGCCAGTTCGGTACTCGCCAGGACTCTTGTTCTTGTGCCAGTGGCCGTAGCGGGCGCTGCTCGATTGAAAAGAGGGCGCGCACGAGCATTGCGCACGTCAGAAAACGACGCGAAAGACGTAAACTCTTGCCAACCCGGACCCTCAGAGAAAACTCAATGGGTGAACATCACTAGGGGTTCTCACGAATAAGACACAAACCTAATACAGTGATACCTCGGTTCACGAACGCTTCTGTTCACGAACAACTCGGTTCACGAACAGAAAAGTTCATAAAAAGATGCTCCGGTTCACGAACTCTGCTTCGGTTCACGAACAGGAGCCGCGGCCATTTTAATGCTATTTCCAGGCTGTCACATGGTCGTGACTTCCTGTAGGAAGATCGTGGAGAGAATAAGAGACGCAGAAAGAAGTACTGTGAGTACTGTGAAGACACTTTCAGTGACTTTTGCTTTTTGGTGTGATTTTTAGCACATACAGTACTGTACTGTACTACTGTACTGTACAATACTGTACTTACTGTATTGTACAGTTCACCCGTTTGAGTGCTTACTGAAGTCATCTCAAGCAAGGTTAGTGTTCTCTCTTTATACATTACTATACTGTACAGTACACTAATGTGTATTGTAATTTGTTTCATATTTTGTGCTTCAAAAACCAAAAAAAAATGTCTGAACGGATTAACCGGATTTACATTGAACCCTCTGGGAAAATGTGCCTCGGTTCACGACCAATTCGGTTCGCGACCAGAGTCAGTTCACGAATTAAGTTCGTGAACCGAGGTATCACTGTAATAGGATAGGTCTGAGGCACCTCCATTGTGTGCTTATTCAATGCAAAATTGTAGTCCTAAGCATTACTATAATATATCATGCACATTAAACTAAGGCGTAGGTTTACAGCTTTAAATGTGGCTGAAATATACCGACTTTGGTGTTTATCTTTCAAATTGGTAACGGAGACCTTGTGATGTTTTTACCAGACATCGGAATGAGGACCTTTTTTTCTCTGCCGTGTATGTTTTCTATATGGCAGGGCTATATCCTCTTGATCTCCGCAAACCCAAATCAAAGCAATCAAATCCAAGATGACCCACATACAACATGCAATGTCACTGGCCACTTTCTGTGTTACTGAATGGCTGGGTGCAAAGGTTCGAGCGAAACAGGAAGACAGCTAGATGACGAAGCACCGCACCTAACGGCGGTGGTGCCAAAGGTTGCCGATGAACGGGCAGAGATGTACGGCCAATGCTTGGCATCCAGTTTGTCATCGACAGCATCCTGGCCCCGAAACACACACCACGAAGGGGAAGGGTTAAAACTCGCCGCACAAAAATTGCTCATGTTTGGCTGGCGAAGAGTCAAATGGCACTGGATATCCATTTTTCTGGTGTGCAGGTGGCTTAGGTAATGCACGGCAATGGTCACAGTGAAATTGCATAAACAAACTTTTTTGCATAAAAACAAGCGTAATATTAACCAACTAGCCTTTTTCCCCGTCCAAGGAAGGGCTTATTGCAGTAGATCTGAAACTTGCAAGTGAAAAGCAGACCGCGATGTGATATTCATTGCATCAATTAGCGTGCAATTTGTAAGGATGCGGTGACACAGACTGATTTCATTTAAAAGTTATAATCCCTTGTTCATCATGACGTCCTTTTTACTTTGATGTCTCAACAGCGTGACGGAGATCGCGTGACGTGAGGGTTCTGCCTTTGTAGTGAAGGCTGTAAGTTGACGCCGAGGAGGGGGGAGGCGGCGCCTCGGCCCCCATGTGGAGTGACGTCACCAGCTAATTATTAGGAATGGGGGGGATGTCCATTTGGAGGACGTCACCTGATCATGAATATTAATTAAGGGGGCTCGTTGATGTGGAGTGACGTCACGGGCATTAAGGACATTCCTGGGTGATTATAGTAGGTATAGGTTCAACTTTGGAAATACACCATTAAGTCAGAATAAGCATGACAATTGTATACAATGAGCAAAAAAAAAATTCAAGTAAAAAAAGTAGCTCATGCTATGAGGGTTACAAGCAAACAATTAAAATTGGCCGTGGGAGATGTGGGTAAAAAAAAAACCCAGCGAAAATGCTAGGAGAGGTCAAATGTGGGCGGCTGATGATAAAGGAAAGGAGAAATGAGGTATGCACGAATGCTTTCCTTTGAACACGAAAAAATCTATTCGGAGAGCTAATGATCACCCGGCTGCTTCAGGTTTTGTAAATGAGCAGCAGAGGGTTTCAATAATAAGTCTTCATCATCTGACCGACCCTTATGTCTCCTGTCACGTGTCGTGACTGTTAATAACCGTACCCACGTGCAGACCACACTTTTCACTTACCACCGGAGGCTTCAGTCAGTGCAAGAGATTATCAAGGTGGTGCATTTCTTAGGTTGAGGATAGTATCTTGATTGTACGCACCTCAAAACCTTCAGACAGCCAACTGCCTGCCACACTATAAACAACTTTTTCCCGTCCAAGGATGGGTGTATTGCAGTAAATCTGAAACTTGCAAGCGAAACGCATTGCATCCATTCGTGTGCAATTTGTAAGGCCGCGGTGACAGACCTATTTCATTTTAAGGTTATAATCCCTTGTTCATCATGACGTCCTTTTGACTTGTGTCTCAATAGCGTTACGGAGATCGCGTGACGTGAGGGTTCTGCCTTTGTAGTGAGGGTTGTAAGTTGACAATGAGAAGGGGGGAGGAGGCGCCTCGCCCCCCCATGTGGAGTGACGTCACCCACTCATAATGATGAATGTGGGGGGCTGTTCGATGTGGAGTGACGTCACCTGCTCATGATTATTAATGAGGGGGGCTGGTCGACGTGGAGTGACCGTCACGCGCGGGACACACAGACATTCTTGGCTCATTATAGCAGTGTAAGGAATCTGCGAGCCATCCTCACGCACTCGCACCACGCAGACATGAAATCTCCACACTCAGCACCGCACGCACCAATCACACGCACGGCAATACACTAGACAAGGGTCAAGGGTTAAAGGGCACTGCCGTAACACGGAGCCGGCGTGCGAGACGGAGATGTGTATTGGGAACGAGGGCAGAGATGGAGGGTTTAAAAGGGGCTGCTAGACGCGTGTTCGGGGTTGGTTTTCGGAACGAGTGTGGCTGTGGGTTGAAGAATAAACAAGTGGGTAACCAGTCTCCGACTCTTCAGAAGTAAATGGACAACTTCCAGCCCATTGCTATATCCGTGTTCTCCTGCACTGTCTATAATACCATGATTACGACGAACTATCAGGCTACGGATGCATGATTTGATTCAAGAACCAATTCTTTGTTACCTCACTTTTCCAGACTTGTGTCATGATTCATCCCCCCCCCTTAGTATATCTTTTTCATATATAGATAATTGCCACACACACACACGCGCGCGATTCTATGTAGGTAGCAAGAGCATAATGGATTTTGATCAATTAATGCATCGTTACACACCTATACAAAATTCCAAATACTGCAGTGCAGTACGTACCTCCATGATGTCTTTGACGACGGGAGTGTAGCGCGACATCTGATAGGTCTGCTCATTTATGCGCTCCTTGCGGTCCGGCCTGCTCTTGCGACGCAGCGTGGTCTGTCAACCCAAGCGGATGTGGCACGAGAAACGTAAATTGTCAAACTTGTGCAGCACGGGATAGAAAAATAACAACCAAAAAGGCACGATGTATTTTAGAAAATAGTATTTTGTTAAAAAACTACTTGAAACTCACGAATGTAAATTACAATACAGGTTTTCCCTCGCTTTATAAGGGTTTGGTTTCTGCGTGCATGTGGCTAACCTCTTTCTACCCACATTTTGCTTGTATGCGGCCAAACGTGGGACACCACTGTGTGTGTACTGCGTGCACTACTCGGTAGGCAGCAGTCTCGTGCGGTCTCGCTTTGTGCACCATTTTTTGTAATGCGTCTACCGCATAAACCGACGAAGCCTCTTTTGACAAATGTGATTCGTAACACGTGTGGATAGCTTCAGAATCAATATTAATCCATGCACCCCTACTTTTAACAGGGTCACCCCAGCAAAGTTAATTTGTTGTCCTTCCCCCGCACCTCCTATGAGCACGGTTGGCTACGTACGGTGCGAAAGAAGTTCAACATACGTACACAAAACAACCGATGTATTATTGAACACGGTTATGCGACTTACGTCTGTGACAATCGACACGCCCAGGTGGGCCATGTTGTGGATTATCTCGCTCTCTTCGGGAGGAATCTGCGCGTGTTGGATCAGCTTGTTGAGATTCTCCTCCGTGATTCCTGCAGCGCGGTCGGCCAGCAAGCATCAACCATCAACATGGAAATTGAACTTTCAAAATGTTGGCAAGACACTTACACTAAGGTGTTACACGTGGTTCCAGACACCTTGTTCATTTTATGCTGGTGGGAACAGCAAAAAAATCAGCAGCGGACATCACCGTTCTTGAGGAAGATGTAGAGTAGGATGATGCGGATCTTGTCGTAGGTGCTGACGGTGGTGTCCAGCAGGATGGGCACAATGGCCCTCATGGGATCCTTGATCTTCTCACCCTCGGCATCCGTGCCGTTAGCCAGGTCCTGCACATGGTATCCACAAAACTCAGTGCGGAAGCAACACAGGAGGCTGTCACAGAGCGCAACGGTCAACCATGATGATTAAAAGTGGAAGGTTTTGTGAACTTTAATAAAAAAAAGTAATGGCAGAGGTGGCGGAGTGGTTCAGAGGTGAGAAAGCTGGGTTAGCAACGCTGAGATCCTGGGTTCGAATCCAGACTGTTTCCTGTGACTAAGCCAGGTGCTCAATTGCAGGAAGTTGATGGCCTTAGCCTGTCATCAAATGTAAAAAAAAACACGAAACGTTAAATTTAATTTGGCTAAAATCCAGCTGTGACGATTAAAAATAACAGTTTGTCTGTCGTGTGACGAACATTAATGTTGTTGGCAAAGTGCTGCCACCCCGTACTCTGTGGACCAGAGGTGGATCAGAGGTCAGTTGAAGGGATCTCAGAGGTAGCTCTGAAATCGGCTTCCTTGAACCGTTCTCTAACATGGAAGGGTTGCACTGCTCTGCACGACATCCGAAAAGATTGTCTTGTGACGTGAAAGCCTACCGCACAATCGAGATAACACTGAGGGCAATGACAATATATATATCTAAGTAATGTCATAAATATGAAAGCGTACTAACCAAATTGGTTTTGCCTTCGGAATTCTACTGCTGTCGGATAAAGATTAATTAAGGCCTGTTGTACGCAGCCAAGGGGGTTAGACACAAACAGTGATATAGCAAATAACACACTGCAGAGTATTATCGTTTCAACATGTCATAACTTCAATTACAAATGTCTACAAACATAATGGATTCCTGTAAAATAATAAACCAATAAAAATCCTCGTACATATATAGCATGGATATGATTAAACACTGTGAATTGATGAATGTATTTTCGAACAGGTGAATATATCCTGACAAGCTCATGTAATACACACTAGGCAATGTTCAGGACTTCAACGAGACTTGATGACAGATCCTAATTGACACCATTGGTTTCACGGCGATCAAACATTAAGCGGCGAATGCACAATGGATGAAGCAATCGAGAAAGACGGAAAATGTAGCCGATGGTTTAAAAAAAAAAGACACGAGTTAAGACTGCGTCACCTGCTCCACACGGCACAGCTTGTTTACAGTGCCCTGGTAATGCTTCATGCAATCCTCGGCGAGATGCAGGTGAGTGGAATACTGGAACGACAAAAAAACAACAAATCCTGATGCGTCGTGTTCCCTCCCCCTTTGCAGAAGTTAATAACGATGACAATGGGCGTATCACAAACGACGTGCTGCCAGCGTGGGGCTTCCAGGCACAGACTTCATTGCACTCGCATAGCTCAGGTAACCACATTAAGAGGCACTGACAAGTGATCATACTGCACAGGGTTATGAGTACAATACTTAGCACTTTGGACATCATTATCTCTAGTGCTATACATGTGGGTTGAACAATTACACGTACTTTGCTCAGCTCTTTCTGGTACTGAGGCATCTTCTTCAGCATCTGCGACACGTCACGCATGTTCATCTGCAAACAAAACCGCCATAAAAAGTTTAAACCGCAATAAAAAAAACTATCCAAGAATAAAATAACATTGAGGAACAGAAACAAAACATCAGTTTCCATTTTAGGAACTCGCTTTTAATTTCCCTTTCCCATACAACATCGAGCCATGGTATATAAAACACCTACTCACGAACGAGTGAAACAAAAATACGACGATGTATTTGTGAACAACAGTGCCCATCTTAAAGAAATCCACAACTCATTCTAGACACTAAGAATACATCTTCTTAAGCAGCAGAGCCTGTACACGTTTGTATGCACGTTATCATTTAACAGGTGGGATGCTGCTGTGGTGTCATTGTCCACAAGAACAGCAGATGAAACAATGGGAAAGTCTGTCCAACGACCAATATAAATGGATACACACCAGTTAACAGATCTACTGGCAGGTCAGCTATGGCGAGGTAAAGTGTGGGTATTACCACCTCGCCAAAATACCCTCTGGTTAAGATCTTTCCACTAGCAGCAGCAAAAGCAAGATATTGCAGAGCTGCGCCTTTACACTTAAACAGGTGATTGCACCGACAAAGGCAGGTATGTCTGCCTGCGAGTTCAGCTCAGTGGTGTGCAGGTGTGAATAGGCAGTCAGCAATGCACACCTTTTCTCCTGTGGCCATTCTCTTGCTCGAAGAGAATTCCTTCAGCGACTTGGTCACGTCCCTGTGTGGGGGGACACTCGTTCGCATGATGCACATCTCACCGCCACGCTCTGGCAATGCGCTGGAACCAAAGCCTGCTTCCCAGGGGGAAACCCAAGCAGCTGCCAGCTATGGCGATAAGCCGTTACCCCATTAAGCTGCATTGCGGAAGATGACAAACACAACCCACGTGCATTTTAAAAGTTGTATTTATATTTCACTCACTGCGAAACGTCGGCTATGTGCTTGTGGCGGAGCTGCATCCAGAGATCGTCATCTTCATCCAACAAAACCTCCTTCATGTGATTCTCACCCATCCCACTCGTGTCGTATCTGCGATAGGACAAAGGCTCGGTGGCTATATATTTATAGCAATTAACCTTGACACGCTGCTTTGAACGAAACCCGCTTTAACTCGCTCGCGACCAGCATGGAAAATCCCATGAAAGCCAATCACGTACGATACAAAAAAAGAATGCATTAAGCAAAACTTAGCGAGCTGATCTCCACCTTCAAAGCACACCGGGGCTTGACACCTCTATATCCCCCAAGCTTGCTTCCTTGCAAGCCAAAAGGTAATTGGCACAAGTCATATTCGCGACTAGTGGAAAGGGCACGATATAAATTCTAAATAGCATCGTCAGCGCTCCCCACATGCATGAAATGTGATTGCATAGCCCCTAGTTTCATTTTAAAGTAAGACTACGCAAGGTTTTCAGTGCAAAAAAAGTCCGAATGGTAGGACTGACACTTGCCTTTGCATGCTCACAGCTTGCTCGGCAAGCTGGTGTCCAAGTGGATTATTGACATTTGAAACAGCACTGTAAGCTCTCGCAAGAAGTTTAACAGACCGTGAAGGGCAAAACACACCCCCTTCACTGTTGAGGTATTATTACACCTGGTTAAGGTGCAGCGCTAACATAAAAACGGCAAAGGGCAGCTGAAAAAAGTAGTACCACTCTTATCAACATGAACACCTTTAAATATATTTAAGGACAAAAAATCCAGCACAGGGCAGAGTAGAATTGGACAGGGTGGTTCATGAGGATAACAGAATATCAGAACAGTGAGCTAACCCCGAGTCCCAGTGTTTGAATCCAGGTCGCCAACCCAATGATTAAACTGGGTTCTCACGCGTAGTCAAGTGATTGGGGCCTTAACCCAGTCAATGACTGCTCAATTTTTTTTATTCTAGCTATGAGAATTAAACATTTCCGATGCAGTGACGTGCAACGAAAAACTCTTGAATGCACGAGCAGGTGTCTCCAGAATGTGAATAGAGCAGCTTTTATAAGCGACTTCAGCAATTGTTCCATGGTATATAACATTCGCAGGGACCTGCAAGAGATCCGAATTTAAATGTCTTCGATGAAATGATGCCAACAGCAGAAGAATATCCTTTGGAGAAAAAAAGCGAAGTACATTTCAAAATACGTATATTACCCACGATATTCCAGATCTTGTTTGATCTGGAAAGCTAAGCAGGGTTCAGAGCCTGCTTAATGCTTCCATGGGTGACCACCATTTATAAAAAGAGGTGCTATCGGTTTCTGGGAAGCTAAACTGTGGGCAGCAGAGATCAGTGCAGCAAAATTCATTGCTGTAGTGTACTATGCTGCCACACCTATGCTCCCTACCTTCACCAACCCACACTGAACAGCACAGTAAAGTATGGTTAAAACAAAACACACAAATTTTTGAAAAGTTTGGACGAAACATCACTTTAATGTTATGATCATTGCATAAGCCAGAACAAATGGTACGTCAGTGGCCAATGCATTAATAAAATAATCCAGCAGGGGATTGACAATAGTGCAGCAACTGTGTATGTACACGTGCATTTACAGGGAGAGTGCAAAAGAGGAAAAGTCAGCTCACTTGTAGACATCGTTCTCGATGGGCAGGAGGTCATAGGCCATGGCCTGGAAGGTGAGTTCATGCAGCACGGGTGAGGTGGGGTCAAATCCACGGTCGATGATCAGGAGCTGCGATCGACCCTTGTCGGGACCCTGAGCCCAATCAATTGCACAAAATAAAATTAAAATACATACAACAAATAGGCATGCCATGATAGATTGGTTCATTGTGTACAAATCAATTCTCATCCTCGCGACACGAGCACCGAGCTTACGTCTTAATCACCTGGAATGCGCCAAAACTCATCAGCACTTGGCAGCTAAGCAGAGCTGAGCCTGGATAGTATTTGGATGGGTGAACACCGTGCATGCCAAGTTGTCATAGGTGGCTGTGGGGCTACGCGGTGGGCAGCAACGGGCCAGTGCAGGAAAACCCATTACCGTACTGTGCTTCTATGCTCCCAAATCTGTGCTCTATGACTTCACAAATTAAAATTGAAGAGAGTAGTGAAATATGATCAAATAAGTGAAAAAAACGTTTTTGGTCTCTATGACCGAACGCATGATACCTGAATACTTAATCTTACCAAGAATTGCATTTCATGCTGGCACCTGTGTCCAGTTGAACATGATTTGATGATTAAGACGCTAATGAAAAAACATTTTACATTGTGCAAGTCAGGCACAATTTAATTTAAAGTATCCAAATGTTCTGTTCAGTACAAGCATGCACTCACGTCTCCCATGGTCGGGTTGTCAGCCTTGTAAGCATCCAATTTATCCTGAACCAGCTGGGCAAGGTAGGTGTTGTTGGCATAATCTCTGGTAAAAAAAAAAATACAAAAAAGAATATTACAAACCTTTGTCCATTCACTGCTGATGGACTCTGCATGCCAGGTTGGTCATGAAATTACAACAAGAATATTGAAAACTGAGACACGGAAACTTAGTAGTTATTTCTGCCGCACAATAATACAGGCAGTGCATGAGGTGGCCATGTGTCCCAGAGGTCAGAGCACTGAGCGGGCACCGCTTAGATCCTGGGGGTTCGAATGAAGGCAACAGCCTGTGATTAGACTGTTCACGAGCACAGAGAGCCGATGGAAACAGCACGGTCCCCAATTTGGTTCTACACCTAATTAGGCAAAATTCAAGCCCTGAGAATAAAAAATATTGGTATTAATATCACATGATGAACAGTACATTATATTTACTAATTAAATTTTACCAGGTAAGGCCCACCGATCTATATAGCTCTTTTTCAGCAGCGACCTGGCCACATATAATAGCTCAATAAAGTGGCTGATCATGTGGGAATGTATATCAGCCAAATGTATATCAGCATGTTCCTAAAATGCAGAGGGAAAAACCGGAGTACCCAAAAAAAATCCACGCGAATAGGGGGAGATGGAGATAAGCAAACTCCAAATATACAGCAAGCGTCTAGGGTTGGGGATTGAACCCACAACCGCCTGTATACCAGGCGAGGTTGTTAACATCTCGCCACCGTGGCGCCCCAGTCGTAGGGAACGTAATGCCCTCTCTTATATGAAGGGTTGCACTACTCTGCCAGAGTTCAGAATAGATTGTTCATCTCATGGCATGACCTTGAGCACAATCGGGAATAAATTCTAAAAAAAATACAAACTGACATGTAACGGTCTGTTCAGCAATGGGCTTAACAGATGGTGCTGATGTTGTACACAACGTATATATATATAAAGCGCCTGGTGCTAATGGTGCATGCTGTACCCGCGGTAGCGAACAGCAGGGTACTCTTGCAGCGTGGCGCACAGTGTGGCGATCTGCTCGGCGAGCCGCTCCATCATATGGTTTCGCACGGATGCCTTTTGCGGGCTGAAGAAGCTCTGGAAAGCTTCCGGAGCGTCGAGAGAGAACACCTAAAAGCACAAGACGTGCAGTGTAACCTCGTGCTCCCATCGCCACCATCCACTGCAAGCGCTGCCCAGGGACGACGGTGCGTGCGCTTAAATTAGGCATCACAAGCTGCTAATCAGCACCGACAATCATGTGTTAAAGGCAGCTAATGACATAATTGTAATACTTTATCATACAATAAAAAAAAGCTTTCAATACAATTTAACAGCAGAGCATCTTAGTAACACATTGGTGGGGGTGGTATTAAAATGTTTATCTTCAGCCACTGTTCATTAAACAAAGGTTAAAACACGATGATGGCCTGGGTAAATTCAGATAAAGAAAAATTGATAGAAGCATCAATAAAAACCCAGTTTAATAATAATAATAAAAAAGGAGCAAGGCATTTAGCCTGGATTGAAACCGTGATAACAATTATTCGATATCTTCACCTCATACAAATCCCTCTCTCCACCACAAACCCATAAAATTCCAACCACGTACCTGCGATTCGTAGGGCAGGAAGGCGATGTTTATCTCCTGCAGGGCCTTGGTGTTTTTGGCAACACGGGACTTGCCCAGTTCTTTGAACAGTGCTTCCGGACAAGCTGCAGGCAAGCCGAAGCGATTCCAGCTCTCAACACATCCACTCACATTCCTCATCCCCTAGGGGTCACGTGTAACTCAGCCATGCAAACCTAGAAACAAAACTGCCTTTGCAGGTGTACTTCTATAGATTGGTGGGAAGTTAATTGTTATGCAGTTGACCTTAGAGACTTCACAGAATGTCCAACAAGTTTACTTTTGGTAAAGTCATGTAGAAGGGAAATAATCAAATAATAAATATAAAACAATAACATTCTCACGACGTTTCGATTGCAACACAAGCAATCATCTGATGATGATTTATTTTATTTTTATTATTTCCCTTCTACGTGACTTTACCGAAAGAACCAAGAATATGAATCCCTGCAGTCACGAAAGCTTTAAATCGAAGTTTGCTTCTGCTGAATATACTGCAAAGATGCATGATTGATGTGAAGCCACTGACTTAAAAAAAGTCCGATACACATAATAATGATACTACATTTGAACCTTATGGCGGGACCCCGGGGTCCCATAAGACCCCGGCTCTCGCATACACCGCGTTGAAACGTAATTTTATGTCTGTTGAAGGCGAACGATGCGGTAGTCTATTCGACGAGCTCTACACGATGCGCTAATCAAAGTTTCAAAGTTTTGTTTATGACTGACTACGGCAATTTTGTCAACGACGGGTGCTTGGTGAAGAACGAGAGGATTGATTTCTGGTGGGTCGCGGTGTTTATGTGCGCGGTGGGATGGAGTCGCCAAAAATAAAAATTAATTACGATTTTGACTTCCGTTTATTCGGGACCCCGGGTCCCGCCATAAGGTTCATATACAAAAAAACATGACACCTTTAAAATCATCTCAGAAAATTTTAATATGTAAGACGTTATTATCAAAATCTACGTTTTGCTTAGAAACCACTTAAGAATTATAATTATAGTTTAAACTTCGTGAAGGAAATTATATTGAAATACTGTATAATTGTAATTAGAAACAATCATATTTATAAGCGAAGAATCTATAGGGGTTATATTTCAATAGATAGATAAAAAACAATCGTGTTCTTAACTACTACTTTTTCTTTCACAATACTTACAATCAGTGAAAAACACATGTGCGCCTTTGTACTTGAAGATGGATGCATCTTTGAAATCATTAATCAGTGCGCGCACAGACTGAAATGCAAAACAACATTTCCTTGTTAAAATGCAAGTCACACTGCAGATGAGGCACTCAGGACACAATAAGGAAACATTTTACAGCAGAGCTTCGGTGATAAACCGCAGGACACAAACATGATTAAAATATTTTAGTTTAACTAATGAATGAACATTGCATACATAATAAATCGAATGTTACACAATGGAATGTGAATATTTTATAATTCAGGCACATACGGAAAGCTGCTAAAGCCACAGGAAATCATGAATCCTGGAGTGAATTTGAGGATAGGTAGTATTTTTATCCAACAGTTACAGGCAGCAACAGTGATATGACTTTCAAGCTGGATGAGAAACCAAACTAATTGCTGACGATTTACCGAAGCCATGTTTTCCATTAACTTCTAATTAAATAATGAAGTAGAAAGCTTTTTTTGACCACAAATTAACATTTTTGTCTGACATTATTCATATTTTTCTCGGGTTCCTTATAACCACACGAAATGCGTTATTTCGTCATTGTGTTTGCATCTATTGACAAATGTGGATATGCAAAATAAATCACAAGGCAGCAAGGAGCAGCAGCTTGATTAGAAAAAAGTTGTACCTTCAGAATAACTTCGTTCCCATGTAAATAAGTGCTTAATTCCATGAAACAAAACACCCATGACGAAGCCGAATTCAATGGTCACGTGCACAACCGGCGAGTGTAAAAATAAACACGTTCAATTGCAACCGCTGAGACTGGCAGCTGCCAAGCTACGCCGCTAGCTCCCCACCTCGCCCATTATTTACACGCAACACAATAGCATCGGCGTCATCAGCTTACCTTCTCGGATGGGGTGATGAGATAGAGGGCCTCGAGGCTAGGAATTGGCTCCCTCCGCTTGTTAATGTCCTCCACGACTGTGCAAAGACAAAGATCCCCCGTATAGCCTTAAAACTGTCAGGGCAAGTGCTGTTAAGCGAGCACCTATGAAGGCCGACATGGTACACGAGGGGGTGGGGTGGCCAGCACCACGCCCGACCGCTTTGGCTCCCCGGTGACGATGCTTTAACACACCGCACCAGGTACTCATATGAGGCCGAGTCAACCTAGAGGAGGCCCATAAACAGTTCAGATAGTTGATATCACTGGTGTTGGCCGTGAGCGGGGAATCAAACTCGGGTAGCCGGGTTCGTAGCGCAGAGCGCTAACCACTCCCCTACCGCTCCCCACGACTGTGCGTGCACACACACACACAGTACGGTAATCAACACTCATAGTTGGCTAAACTGCTTGCACAGCTATGCGCCTCCCCACGCACACGCGTTGCGACCGACTCAGAACGTACGCCCAAAGTGTGGTCCCAACAGCAGACCACGTTGCCTCTATGCCGAAGCCGCAATCCCAACGGCGCAAACAAATTATCACACGTTGGTGGCACGATCACTGGTGAACACAAACGTGGTAGGATTTTAAAAGTGACTGGAAGATGTTTTTCACAAGCTGTCCTATGCCTGTGACCATATCAACTGGAATGTCTAATCTCATCAGATCTTGTAACCTAAGCAGCGTTGGACTTGGATAGTGCTTGGTTGGGCGAGAACTATGAAAAACACGTGTTATAGGCTGCTGTTGTGGTCAGCAGAGGACTCGTCCAGCAAAATCCATTGTTGTATAGTTGTACTTACATGCTGCCATATATATGCTCCCCAATTCACTTACTGACCAGTGTGTTGAAGTACGGTGAAATAACCCCTTATGATCCACATGGCATGGGAATCATAGGGGTTATAAGCAGTGAATGGGTTGTGCATATTTATGTTAACTTTTCAACATAGCTCCCTTAAAGTTTTCAATTACTTTACAAAACATTTCTTATTAAGATTTCAAAAAACAGAACTCAAATAGTTGTATTGTCCTGTACTGTACTTACAAAGTGCTGTATCATAAATTAGTATTCGGTGCATAATATAACATAGCCAACGTTTGCTGATGTTTGCAGTTCATTAGAATGTTTACTTCCTTCCCTAATTGAGAAAAAACTTAAGGGGTTATTTGAATAAGTTGGATGTGGAGCAACATTTCACCTACTTAAAAGGTTCCATGCCAGAGGCAAAAATGCATTCTTAATATGTTGAGCGATATATTTGGGAAAGCATCATTCCCACTAAATGCATGTATCAAACCCAACAAGAACTTTCTACAAACTCCAATACAGCTCATTTTTGCTACGTAAGAGTGTAAACATTTTTTTTTACAATTAACACTGTGATAGATTAAAGACCATTAGAATGTGGCCCACATTTGTAAAAAAAAAAACATAAAATATGCATTTACAGCCAATTGACAATTCACTGCTCTGTGGAAACCTGCATAATCCGGAGCTCTTCATGGGGTTTATTTGACCATACTTAAATCTGATGTCAGTGCAACTTGATAAGAGGTGGGTCCAGTACAGGATCAGGTATCACACTTGCCACTGAACTTAGCCTTGGCTGGGAATCAAACTCAACATGGCTGGATTAATTGCACAGTGCTCAAACTGCTGCAACCCTGATAGTCCTCTCTGAAGAGACACTAATAATAATTAAACGTGAGTATTCTAATTAAATTCTGCTCATCGTGGCAAAAACATAATGATTTGTGCCTCCATGCAACCACTAACCCTGAAAGCGATGGAGGCTTTGGCAAGAATACAATTAAAGTCGCCGCTGACGTGCTTGACAAATCCATCTTGCTTTATATAAAAAGGCACATTCATGCGAGCGCTGCACCACAAAACCACGGTTACTATAAATTTAACTTGTATAACCATGAAGAAAGAGATAAGAGGCCTCGGCAGAGGTAGTTTTAACAAATTCTCGTCTGCCCATCATAAACGTGTTTTTTTTAAACACATCATGTTCACATGATAAACTGAGGATACACTGTAGGACATGCGTGCAAAGCAGGTTCAGTTGACATCCTGTGTCATTTTCTACGGCACGCCACTGCGAAGCGGATCAACAATCCACCCTTAAGTCAAGCACACAGTCCTCCTATGTCTAAATCTGTCTGCGGGTCACGTATGACAAATGATACAGGTTTTCGTGTATGCTGCCTCATGGACACCAACCAATTTGCCATCTGATTGCAATCTCATAGCCCAAAGGCTACTTACTGTACGAGAGAGAAAAGTGCCAACATAAACCAAACCACTACAATAGGAAAAAAGCACACAGGACATGACACATTTACCACATTTTCAATCACGAAAAGATTAGAGGAACTAAAACTATTTATGTGCAGGTGTACAATGACTAAATATGCAATTCTGCATGTACAATCTTGCCTTATTCATTAAAGAAAGCCATAACAGTGTTAAGTGTAAGTGCCAAAATACTTTTTGAAATCTAAAACATTGTCCTTTTTCAAGCATGGCCAAAGATCATTTAAAGTAAACCTTTGATCAAGGACAAATCTAAAATGTATTTATCTCATGAAAATAAATTAAACAACACATTCTGCAGATTAGCTCAAAACGGCTTGCTTTTGGGAGACAGTGTCACAAATAAATAATGCATTCATGGCTTAAAATGGTATAACTGGGATAGATGCATTAAGCAGTAATGAAAAAGATAATGGAAAATTATCTTAATACTGCCATGGGACTCCTCACTTCTGCACATGATGAATGCAATTCCACTAAGGTTAGTCAACGGGCTTGTTTCCAAACATCGTTCTGCGTGCTCCAATTAAATAAGTACTAGATGCTTCACATGTATACAAGGATACGATTTTGGTACCATATTTTCAAGATTGAATGGCCTTTGTTCAAATTCACAATTTGCATTACATCTGTGCCAAAAGTGTGTAGCATGAGCAATGCGGTCTGTATTCTCAAGGTTGAGCAAGGCTAAGCAGGGACACACCCTGTGCCATGACCTTGATGCTTTACCATCCCACCGAGTGCATGATCAGGACTTACTGGTGATGCCCTCGGTCATGATGTCTGTCATCTTGCAGCAGGAGGAGAGCATCCTCATACTCAGCTGGTCGACCACGAGTACCTGCAGAAATGCAACAATTACGTGAAAAATCTTAAGCCACAACACTGACTTGCAACAGGATTTTATAAGATAATGAAGAGCAGTAAAATTTACTTCCAAAGGAGATTGCCTTTATACGTATGTATGCAAAACAAAACAGGTAAGCAGTGTGAAGAGTGGGGGCTGTAGATATGATTTAGATTTTACTTTACTGAACGCACCTTCCATTCTCCCTTCTTTTTCACCTTTTGGATAACTTCTTTCATGATCTCTGTTAAAGAATAGGTCATTGAATCACGTCACGATTGAACGCTAGGAATGTGCATATTGCCATGTACCATAAAACGTTGTCATGTCACAAGCCACTTCGGGCCCGATGCAGGCAACGCTATATATTGGTGACAAACACAAGACACGATATTATAAGTTTCCACCGATGAGCAAAGCAAATATAAATCCAGGAAAAGTCAATGTTTTGATCAGCATGTCTTCAACACTCACATCATTTGGTGGCGTTTGGTCATTTCACGTTTGGCTTTAATATACACGCACGCACATATTATACAAAGCCACATTTATATTATGTATAAACAACAAAAGTGTGCATACCAATTTAGCAACATGCCTGCGTGGTCAGTGAAGTGGTGAGATTGCACTTAGTCCACGTGAACAGTGGTGGTTGCTATGTTTAACTAAAAGACCGGATCCCGCCTTCGTATTGTGGAATTTATATTACGAACTCTGAACCAACGGAAATGAACACCGCCCTGCACTCAAGTGAGAATCGTGACACTTTTGACATTTGACGTATCAACATTAAGTACAGTCTCGCAAATTAAACTGTCGCAACCTCAGATAATTCACACAAGCGGCAGCAGCTTAAGCAAAAAGAATAACAACAGAAAAACATGCGAGGAAATGTTCTTTAAATAAGGGACAACACACACGTAGAAGCCAGCCAATTAAAGTAAACTCCAGAACAATGCCATATGGGCGCGTCACGAGTTGAACACACGGCAACTCACGAATGTGCCGACAACACCGCACTCCCTAGAGCATGAAATGTAACGTGACAAGAGGCTTGTAAAACATATAATTGCGGTGCTGTTTAGAACGCATGTGTGCATTCAAGTGAAGGAATGTCAATCAACAGCACAACAGTGGTTAATCTGTAATGTTACTCAGCCCAGCCATAAAAACGTGGACGTTCCGCCACTAGCTATAAACACAGAGATACTGTACTGATACTAAAACATTGATTACAACGATTTAAATATATAAACGCAATGAAAAACGCCCACCCAAAAAACAAACTGCTCATATCCTGTACAGCATACGCTTCTTGGCTGTGTCGCAAGCTGCCTTGCACAACTTCAAGTTAGTCATTTAGGTAAATGTGTGTGTAAAGCTATGAATGGCATGTGTATTGGGACTCTATATTCCATCTACTTTGATTAAAGTCTCATCTCCCTTTTCACAGCCCTGGGTGGGAATTCCACATTACCATGATAGATCCGAAGTCACATTGTGGCAACTCAGACAGTAATATTATTCCCAATCAATTAATATTGATTTTACGTCACAATGTCGCCCTCAATAAAGTACTATGGGCTGGAAGGTCCTCCAACTCAAAGATTAAACACACGCTACGACATTACCCTATTATCAGACTACACGCCCTAATGAATGTGTTGCTAATTTGCTGTCAAAATACCGCTCAAGCATAACAGCCGAGAGTAAACGACACCACAAAACAGCGCCAACATAAGCAACACATTACGTATAAAACATGTGGGGAAGGGGGGGGGAATTCCACTCTCCACGATCACGAAATCCCTGGTCACACAGTGCGACCCCGAACAGGGACGCCGCGGGACCTCCTTGTCCCCCCCCCCCCCCGCCGGGTGTGATCCCCCATCATCGGTAGAGCTTCTAGGCAACACCGAAGGCTCCGCGGAGGCCTAGTGTCCTACGCACAGCAATATTACATCGGCGCGGAGGAGTGCCGAGGACGGTGCAGTGAGCGGACACCTCTGAAAGTCCGCTCTTAAAATAAAACAAATACAACTTGTGACGAGAGAAGCAACGGCCAAGGGCGAGCAAAGTGACGAGAGAGAGAGCGAGAGAGCGAGCCGCGTAGCTGCCACTTACTTTCCCCGACCACCGCTTTGAGTCCATACGTGGGCGCCATCTTGTCTCGCCTCCTAGGGCGGGGGGGGGGGGCTGCTGCGGGGAAGGGGTGCAAGCGCGTGCGTCCGTTTACATTTCCCAGCGAGGATGGGCGACGCCTCCCCTCCTCAGCGCGCGCCCATTGGTCCAAATTCAACGATCGCGCGCGTTGATTGGTCAACTTACCTCGGGGGTTTGGGGGAGGGGCTCTCGCTCATTGGCATCAATGGGAGGGGCGGCGGGGGGGGCGCGGGGGTTCCCGGTGCGCTTATCCACGCTGGGGAATCTAGAGAGCTCGGCGTTTTTTCCCGTGACGTCACCCCCCCATCACAACACCCCCCGCCCCCCCCCCGCAAGGAGGCCTCACGTCAGCTGATTGATGTGGCTTTGAGACCCACACTTAAGGTTTAAAAACCCATAATATTTACACATTTAAGGCAACGCTATTGACTAATGTATCGGATTTGTTCTTTCTTGTGCAGTATTACTTTTAAGGCATAAGCGTGTGTAATAGTGGGAGGTACTGTGCTCCTATGGGGGTTCAAACAAACTTTATATTAAAGCCAGAAACAATGTAAGAGTACAGTATAAGATTTGTCACTTGATTTGAGGTTGGAGCTGGAAAAAAAGATAATAGGCTCAGTAGTAGAAACGCTTTCTGGGATGTATTAGAATGGGACATTTTTATTAATGTAGAAAATAAAATTCCCAATTAAATTACTATTTTTTTGCCCTCTTATTTTATTGTTTTGGCTGTCAAAAGTTGATGGAATTCCCCAATGCAGAACTCATTAAGCTTGTGTATGCGGTGGCATATTGATCGGATCAAAAACGTGGACATTGGTAACATGTGAAAGTAGCCAAAAGTGAACTAAGAAACATAGAGAGATGTATGTTTTGGTATTGCATTGTTGCAAATACTTATAACAATGGAACAACCCCTTAACATGCAATGATGTTAAATATTCTATTATATTATTTTCCAAGTAAAGTAGTATTTAAATGTATCTATAAGCATTTAAGCACGTCATGTTTTATGTATTATTCATTGCAATATTTCAATACAGTATAGCAATTACACACCCACATTACATCACAATAAATACGCTTTAACCGTGTCTCCCCCTTCAGGTAGCAATTATACAACCAACACTAAATAACTTTTTTTTAAATCCTCCCTTAATAAGTAAAAAAAAAACATTGCATTAATAGCCTTTCACGCAGAATTTGTAATAAAGTTCTTGAAATAGACTCCACAAAAATTTCATTGAAAAAAAAAACTAAAAGACACGTGCTTTTCACACACGCGTTGAGCCACCCGTACCAGCTGACTCAACCCACAACGCACCGTGCCCCGGTGTGCCAAGCTGTGCCACCTTGCCTTGCAAAAGCTGCGTTCTTCCCGCTGTCGTCATTTGTTACCGCTGTTAACCTCACAATCTTTACATCACGTCGATTTACCCGATTGCAAGTGTGTGGCAACGATTACTCACTCAAGGGCAGATTTTCCCTCCACCTGGGCTGGTTGTGTTTCTAGGTAGGAGCGTTGGCGTTTGGACACCATGAATCTGCACAATGAGTTCAACAAAAGTCTTCGGACTCCTCTTGAAGATCAACGAGAAGAAGGTGAATGTCGTCTTGAATGGGATGTTGTTCCTTCACCCCCTCTTCCTCCTCCTTCTCCCCTCTCTTTTTGGACATATTTAACCCGAGGCCTTTATCAATTTTTTCCTCTCATCTCGAAGTGATGGAATTGCGGCACTTACATCTTCAGTAGCAGTGGACTTGTAATTGCAATACATTGACCTGTGACAACGTAGTCGCAGTACACTGATCCTACACAGTACTAGAGTTTGGATAAATTGCCATAAATACAACTCGCTGCTAGTTTCTCAATGAATGAGTAATTCACGTGCAGCGCCCAATTGTGGTGTCAATCCACTGCTGGATGAGGGCCTTCTCCCCACCACCGCATGGTAGGTTATTTGGCCATACTTCTCCACTTTTGGCACAGTGCCACTCGGTACAACAACGAGAAAAACAACCACAATTGATGTTGCTGTACTGCCCCGCAATTTAGACCGATGCAGACGCCTCCATGAACACGCACGACACACGACGCGTATTTGTGCATGTCGGTGGCTCACCCGAACACTATTCAGGCTTGTAACACCATCCCCACAGCTTGGCTTCGGCGATGTTGGGTCTTCATTATGATGATGATCATCATTATCATCATCATCTCTTTACAATTTTTGTTAGTTTTTCACGATTCCAGTTGGCAGCGGATTTAAAAGTCGGGTGTGAAGACGCAGAATGGCTACTCTGCACTTCCATGTAAAGACGGGGGCTTTCTTCTCCCCCTTCTCACTGCGTTCTAAATTAATACTCTGCGTGTAACAGCATAACACGATGAAAGTGTAAACGCTGCGTAGATCCCTTTGGCTGGGTGCATAAACAACTTAAGTGTGGATGTTATTTTCTTCTCCCCCCCCCACCCCCCGAATGTTTTAAAATGACAAAATATGGCAGCAAACTTGGGTGTCTGATCTTGACGGTCTGAGAGGCACCGAGTTGACTGACATACGTAGATCCACACATAACACAAACATCATTATAGGAACGAGATATACAGTATTCGAAAGAGCTGTGATGGAGATAGAACGTGGAATTCACAATAGGCATACGAGAGAGCGGTGGGTGTTACGCAGAGAGATATGATGGAGATATCCATAAGAGACATACAAGGGAGATGAGAGCTCTTGGGACGTACCAGTTTAAGACAGAAAGATATTCCAGAGACGGGAAAGAGATGTATCCAGTGGGGCGATGTATTCACAAGGGAAATATGAGATAGATGGGAGAAAGATGTAATGAGAAGACTCAAATAGATGCACTTGGATACCACATCACTTAGGCTGGACTGAAGTTAGGGATACACCATTTTTGACATTGATGTTGGTCCCTCCAATAAGATGTCATCGATGATTTTCTGTCAATGTTTTGCTTTCGACGTTGTTTATCACGCCGAAAAGAAGACCAAAATATGTTTAATTGTAAGCTCTTCTATGAAAAAATAACTGATCCCTCACCAAAGGTCCTTGATAAGGCATATATGTAGTGTGGATAGGTTTAATTTTAACAAACTGGAAAGTCGACTAAGTTTGCTGTTGGTTGAGTGTTGACCCAGCAACAACAGCCAAAAACAAAGTACAGACTATATTACCCGTATTTTTCTTAGTTTTACAAAACTGTCTGTCACTCTCAGCTCAAAACATTTGAGGAATGGAGAGCCGCTTAAGATCAGCAAGGTGAAAAAAAGTGTCATGATTTATATTGCATAGGTTTAAGGTCATTGATCATATATAGCTCATCGTAAAAGTGATAGTTCACAGTTGATTGGTTAAATTAGTCTGTTTAATATCCGTCGTGGAACTTTGATCTTTGAGCGTGACAGCGTATCCTGTGCATAAATATCACATCATCACTGTGCGTGTACATGGTCAGTCTTAAATCATCTGCATTGCTTTGAGCTGCACTGCCCTCTTGCCACGGTGTCTCTCTTTGCGACACGCAGTGCCGCAGAGGTCAGCGGCTGCGATGGATGCCGGCCATGGGCAGGGAGCCGGGCCAGCATGGCCTCAAGACAAGCCTCTCTTCACCCCCGCTCTCTACAAGCAGCGCTACGAGGCCATCGTGCAGCTCGTCAAGAAATACAGGCCACGAAGAGTGAGCGGAAACAGTTTTAATGACCTCCATCCACAGCTTATTTCCAGTTTCTTCTCCCCCCAGCATGTGTGCAACACAAGCCAGGCATCTCACGCAGACTGCTGGTTTAACTTTGATCCCCCAGTGTGATATATGCCTCTTGCGTGACTGAGACGTTTTTTTTATTACTTTTTCAAGCTATTATACCCAGTATAGTTTGGTATGTATGCTTTTCGGTGCATCCCATAGAATTTTGAAACGCCCAAAAACAATGGCCCGGAGATTGCAGCACACTAAGTGGGTTTACGAACTGTTCTATATGTATATGTCGGTGTTATCCCCATGTATTCGTGATGTTTCTTGAGGTAAGCAAGTTTTCTCCCACGTGCTTAACACTTTTCAAATGGGATTAGCCAAACATCCCAACACAAGAATCTCCCGAAAATGGTCTTAAAAAAAAAACATTGACATGGATTATCTACAACACCCCCAGCATCAATGTGTTCTAGTTCATGGCTATCTATCAACATTGAAGTAATATATTTTGAACTGTGCCGCTTTTATCTCTGAAGTTAAACCATAGTATGTAAGGCCAATCTTTATTTATTTTCTTATTTCAAGAAATATGGTTTGGTTTTCTGAGTGTGTCAGGTAAGATCTTACAGCTCTGAACAGGGTAATGAATGTGTATATAATTAACACATTTACACAAAAATGACACGCAGTGTATATATATTCTTAGGTTTTTTTCGGTAAAGTCACGTAGGTAAAAAATTTTAATTAATAAAAGTAAAATCAAATAAAAATCACGACGTTTCGGAGGCAACACAAGCTTTCGTCTTCAGAAGACGGAAGCTTAATTTAAATTTTTTACCTACGTGACTTTTCCGAAAAAACCTAAGAATATGAATGAATCCTTGCAGTCACGAAAGCTTCAAATCAAGAATGTATATATAACTCACACCTGAGACAATATTTAAATTTCAGGTCATAACTAGAATGGTGTCTCTTGTTTTCACTCTTTAGATGGCTGATTTTGGCTGCTCTGAATGCAAACTGCTTCAGAAAATCAAATGGGAGCCCTACGTGGAAGAGTTGGCTGGCGTGGACACTGACAGACGCGTATTGATTCACAACTCGTGAGCTTTTACGGTTCCTTTTGTATCGACTCGCATTGTAGTCTCCCACAGTACAGCAGTGGGACACAAGTGTTCGAGCTGCCACGCGACCTTTACACAACCGCCGGTCAGCTGATGTAGCACTTGTTAAAATGTAACTTGCCTTTTATTTTTCACGCAGGCACACGCTGCAACCTCTTCCGTGCGACTACCTCATACCCAGGGACAACCGCCTCACCGTCAGGCTCTACCACGGCTCCGTGGCAGACAGGGATCCTAGTTTGCGCGGCTACGACTTTGTCAGCTGCGTCGAACTGTAATTATTTCCTTTTTCAGTGAGGCCTAGAAGGGAGATGAGCTCAATGCAACGGCAGTTAAATGGATCTGCCAAATATGAACTTACATCTTCTTGGTTCTTTCGGTAAAGTCACGTAGAAGGGAAGTAATAAAATAATAAAAATAAAACATAATAAAATGATTCTCACGACGTGGCCGAAACGTCGTGAGAATAATTTTATTATGTTTTATTTTTATTATTTTATTACTTCCCTTCTACGTGACTTTACCGAAAGAACCAAGAAGATGAATCCCTGCAGTCACGAAAGCTTTAAATCGAAAATGAACTTACATGTGTCAATCGTATAATACCGATTGGCTCTTGATGATATGACCGTTCACACTTTCTCTATGATCTATTTAACAACAAAAAAATGGCAAATGTCATAATGGAAATGTTAATGCTAATTCCCTTACATTTATATTTTTCACAAACTATGAAATGTTTGTTGTGCCAATTATTGTAAGCTTTCGTGTACTGTAAACAAAGCATTTTTATTCAGCATTTGTTTTTGGTTCTGGATTAGAACCCCATCTTAGAATGTTTAATCATCTTCAACACCATAAGTCGTTAACGCATGACATTGGAATTATATAAATAGCCATTTTAATTAAAACGTGCAGTACATTGACATCCAAATAGGACCCTCAAACTTGACAGATTTCTATTATAAATCTTGTAACTTCACTTCTAAGAAATACATCAAATGCTGCAATCACTTGTATATTTAACGTAGGTGTTGATTAATTCAATTGGATGACTAAGCTTAATATTTTAGAATCACCATCTCATCGAGTCTGAGAACTATTACATTAACGAGCACTTGCTTTCTTTAATGCAGTTGATTTTCCACTGGCAGGATAGAGCACCTGGACCCAGAAGTGCTGGCTGCACTGCCCGGGGTGCTGTTGGGCTACGTGTCCCCTCAAGTGGCCGTCATCACCACGCCCAACGTGGAGTTCAATGTGCTGCTGCCCGGCCTAAAAGGGCTCCGGCACTGGGACCATCGCTTCGAGTGGACGCGGAGACAGTTCCAGGCATGGTATGGCTCTGTATCCACATTTATTACAATATAAACTATTTTTTTATTTTACCAGGTAAGGCCCAACGAGCTATATAGAGCTCTTTTGTCAGAAGCGACCTGGCCACAAATGATAGCTCAACGAAGTGGTTTACCATGTGGAAATGTATAGTAGCAAAATATGCTTAATGCATGTTTCTAAATTGGGAGGCGAAAAACCGGAGTACCTGGAGAAAAATCCACACGACCACAGTGACAACATACAAACTCCAAATATACAGGCGTCAGGGTCGAGATCGAACCCATGCCTCCTGTATACCAGGCGAGGCAGTTACCATCTCACTACCGTGGCGCCAGAGGGAGGAAAACAACTAAACCGCTGTCGGTGGTCAGTGGTGTGCCATCCTTGTGTGAATTATTTTATAGGAATGCAGCAGAAGCTGGATATAAGAACACCCCTTGTATATATAATGTTGGACTTCTTTCGCACCATGTGTAGCCAACCGTGCTAATTTTAGGTCAAAAGAAATGAGTTTTCAATCTAGATTTAAAAGTGCATAGCTCAAGTGGCTTTCTAATATCGTAAGAAAGAGCGTTCCAGACGGCCGCATAGGCACATCTGAAAGCGCGATGCAGTCACTGTTTTTGTTCGATGGCCGGCCACCTAGTTGTGCTGAGATCCAATGTAGTGTGTTTGTATCAGAAGTTGCTCTTTGCATTCCTCCCCCCCACCCCCCAGTGGAAGGATGTGTTTCTTATACGGTGGTGGGCGATGGTGGTGCACGCCTGTAATCTAGCACTGTGGAGGTCAGGGTTGTTGGATCGCACTCATGTTGTGAAACTCCTTTCCCGTGGTTGTCGAGGTGCCATACTCTGGGTCGCCAGGAGATGGTGGTACAGCATGTGTGGACTAATCTCCATCTATTTCCATCTAGACGGGGATAGAGTGTTACCCCCTCGCGTGCGTGGATTTTCTCTGCGTGGTCCAGTTTCCTCCAACATGTAAAAAAAGCACTCATTAATTGGCAGGAAACATCTTCAAATAAAATCCCAATGTAGCAGGACCCCACCTGAAAAAGAATCCAACGATTCGTTGTGGCTTTCCTTGATGAATGAGAAAAAAATATTATTACATGAGAACCGTACTTTAAATTTCGATTTAAAGCTTTCGTGACTGTAGGGATTCATCTTCTTGGTTCTTTCGGTAAAGTCACGTAGAAGGGAAATAATAAAAATAAAACATAATAAAATAATTCTCGCGACGTTTCTTTAATTGCATGTGCTTATATTTAGCTTCTACTCTACAATGAAAATGTCATGGGATTAAAAAATCTAATATTATTTCGATTCAGATTATGCGATCGCTGATGATCGTATTCATCTGTAATATTAATGGCCGTTTTTCTTGGGTAGGTCGATAATAATCAACTTCGAGGGGCCAGTTTTAATGTCTCCTGCTTATACTGATCTTACACGTGTTTGGCATGCCTGTAATCCAGCTCTTTTTTTTTGAACGCAAGGGGTTGGTGGCTCACACGCAGAATTGTTGAACCTGCTAATCCCTTTGGCTTGTGAGGTGGCCGGGAAATATCAGTACAGCCAAATGAATTAAATGAATGAATCCTCGTGTAGCTTTGAGCTTTATCTTCTCATGTCTGTGGATGTTCTCGCGGTCGTCTGGTTTCCGCCTTCTTACAAAACACCCAGTTGCCCAAGCATCTCAATGCAAGATATTCACAAAAAGAGTACTGAGACCCAATGATGCTTGACTAAATGCATACACATGATTGATTAATTGACTCGGCAGCAAGACTGGTGGAGGACAGAGAGAAGTGGAGGGAGGTGCTACACACAGTGCCGGATTAACCTAGTAGCACGAGTAGCTACACATGCTACGGGTGCCGCACTTTCAAGGGCCCCACGCTAAATACTTTTAAGCTTTCAATTCCGGTTCAGTGATTCCACTTGCTCTATTACTATAGTACTATACTGCCTTCAACTTTTATAAATGACTGGGTTTCGATTTAAAGCTTTCGTGACTGCAGGGATTCATCTTCTTGGTTCTTTCGGTAAAGTCACGTAGAAGGGAAGTAATAAAATAATAAAAATAAAACATAATAAAATAATTCTCACGACGTTTCGGCCACAACGCAAGCAGCCGTCTTCACCTGAGGATGGCTGCTTGTGTTGTGGCCGAAACGTCGTGAGAATTATTTTATTTTATTACTTCCCTTTCTACGTGACTTTACCGAAAGAACCAAGAAAATGACTGGGTGTTTAAGGTTAGCGATTTGTCGTATTATCTGGCTGTATAGCAAATGAAAAAATACAATGACTTTACTATGCAAGTAAAACATTTGTGTTTTAATATTTGTTATTTTATTTATGGGGCCCCTTTATAACATATGCTACAGGCCCCACACTAGCTTAATCAGGCACTGGCTACACACCGTCAACCCTCAGAGGAGTGCAATAGTTAATGGCAAGAAGTGTTTTGAGGTCCCGAGCATCGAGATTCGAGTGTAAAAGCCGGTGTCCCAATGGGCATATAATTTGTCAGCATGTTTTAGGTTGACACTTTTAATTTTGCAATGACTAATAACATTGGACAGAGCAAAATAATTACACTTGGCAGTGATTTAGAACTAACATTTAAAAAAAAACACAATTATATATAGATTTTAATGGCTACAATAAAACAAGCTATTCGTGTTCTTTGATGAAAAAAATAATCAATCTTGATTTGAAGCTTTCGTGACTGCAGGAAATCATACTCTTTGGTTCTTTCGGTAAAGTCACGTAGTTAGAAATAAAATAAAACAAATCACACAAATGTTTTTACTTGCCGAAAGAACCAAAGAGTATAAAAATAATCAACCACAATTTCACCCGATTTATATTTTTAAAACTCTCAATAGTTTGTAATTATTTTAACGAGGGGCTGTGTTGGCAGGTGCACGGATGCGGCGCGGACGTACGGGTACAGCGTCTATTTCAGTGGCGTCGGTCTGGCGCCTCCGGGCCACCACCATCTGGGCTTCTGCTCTCAGATGGCCATCTTTGAGAAGGCCAACCCATGGTTGGAAAGCCTTCATCGCACCGTCAAAGACACCGGAGGTCGCTACGAGCTGGTAGGTGCCCTGCAGTATTATCTCTTGTTAAACTCGACCATAATGGCAGCAGTGGCTGTTAACTTGTCATTGATGCACGTGTACTGTGTGAGCCATAACACCTCAAGAGCTCCATTGGAACCTCATTTGCCAGTAAAAAATATAACAATTGGTTGTTTACCCTTTTATCTGGCAACAAAACTGACACCTTTTTTTACAAGGAGTCATGTTTGCATAGACCACAATACCTGCAGTCATAATGCAAACAAAAAACATAACTCTGATAATGTATGCACTGTCCTTGAAGTTGATTGGTCCACACCCGAGACAGCTTTCCTTAGAGCCTCGTCTCACATGGTGTTGGACCAGATGACGCCAATTATCACCTCAAGAGCTATATTCCGTAATGCAACTTTAATCACTATGAATTATAGCCCTTTGTAAAACTAATGTTGAATGAGGTCCATTCCATGTTGTTAATGGGGGTTCTTTGACCATACTGCACTCATCAATGTGAGTTGAAGTGGGTACCCAGGATCGGTTCCTGTGTATGTTGAACTTCTTTCGCACCATACGAAGCCAACTGTGTTATCTTCTTGGTTCTTTCGGTAAAGTCACGTAGAATGGAAATAATAAAATAATAAAAATACAACTTTTTAAAAATAATTAAAATATTGTGTTATTATTTTATTATATTACTTTATTATGTTTTATTTTTATTATTTTATTATTTCCATTCCACGTGACTTTACCGAAAGAACCAAGAAGATGAACCCCTGCAGTCACGAAAGCTTTAAATCGAAATCCAACTGTGTTAATCAGATATTACTGACCCATTGTCTCCAACTCTTATCCTCTCTCACGTACTATGAAGAAGGGCCATCATCTGTAAAGTCATCATAAATTACTTTTTTTACATTTTAAGGCAGCGTTATAGATGAATGTGTTGGTGTTTTCTGCATTGTTAGCCATGGCTGGCAATTGAACTCGGGAACAGTGTTCTAGGTGCAATACTCTAATGCACCATCATTCACCACGCATACATGCCTTCAGCCTTAAAAGGTGGCAGTAGTTGTTAAATTGGCCTTGGCTGTGTACGCTCTGTCAGCCGCAGAATTGCAAATCACCTTCCATCGTGAACATTTTAACAACCATGACGCTTCAATACTTTTTCATCAGTGTTGTGTGCAATGAACAACAACGATGAATTGTAACACTCGTATATATTCGGGTGACAGTTATATTGGTAAGCAGGGATGTCTCGCCTGTGGGAAACATCTTTTGAGTATGCGCACACATGTATGCATGCACCTCGTAAAAATATAATACATTTGACGTCCCAATTTAAAGCTTTCGTGACTGCAGGGATTCATCTTCTTGGTTCTTTCGGTAAAGTCACGTAGAAGGGAAATAATAAATAATAAAAATAAAACATAATAAAATCATTCTCACGACGTTTCGGCCACAACGCAAGCAGCCGTCCTCAGGTGAAGAACAGGTCTGTCATTCAGACGCTGTCTTTCCGACTTTACCGAAAGAACCAAGAAGATGAATTGACGTCCCGTTTATTCACTGCTTTAGCCCACCGGTGTGTTGAAGCCACAACATTTACAATTTGAGTACTGTGGCTTCAACACACCGGTGGGCTAAAGCAGTGAACTATTTGTCTTTGTCAACGTGACACATTTTTACTGATTGGCCGTGTCGGGTGGTGGAGGGTTACGACACATTTATAAATAAACGCGATCTAAACCCAAAAACGTTGATTATGAATAACATTGGTCGCGAAAGCCTACGTGTTAAACTGTCCCGTTTATTGTTTTTTACTATGCGCCGCATATATCCCGCCTTTACTACGGACACCCCCTCTCTCGTAACACTTTTCTCTTTTTCAGGTGTTCGAGTTTGTGTTCCCGACCTTGCAGGACAAGCATTGCAGAGACGCGATGCTGCTGTTTGAGGTGAAGTTCCTCGTAGACGGATCTGTGCGACGATACCAGGAAGAGCGCGATGATTTCTGCGGCGCCAACGCCACTCCCGCCGGCGGAAGTCCCACGTTCCCGTCACCGCCAACGAGCTGCGCCGCGTCTCCTCACTCCGACTCGGGGGCCTTTGCCCGGCGCTCCAGCTCAGGATACGAAACTCAATCCGACGGCGCCGTGTCGCGCCCCGCTCGAGGCTGGCCTCCAGCGAGGCAGACGGCCATCAAAGCTGTGTCTAACGGCACAGAGGTCGTGATAGACTTGGCCATGATTTACATCTCGGATAAGGTGCAGAAGCTGTGCAGTTCTGTGGAGCAACTGCGAGAGGTTATCAAGTCCACAAGCAACTTCCAGCTCAGCCATGATGAGACGGGCATCGTGTGTCATTTGCCAGAGAACCAAGAGCTGAACTGGGGGGGGAGACGTTATTCGTAGTCGAGATGGCAAATTGCAGTCCACATGTTTCTCCAGCCGTCTTTGTACGGCAATTCAACTGAAACAGCAATGAGAAGTGAACATGACCTGATTTACACGTTGAGATCGGTATAAATGGAGACACCATCACTGGAGAGGAGTTGACAACCCGTTTTGAAAGTACTGGACTTTGGTCATGTTTTGAGTTCATCTCTTGAGTGGATGTATGTGGCACTTGGGTTAATGATAATGGGCCAGTATACAGATTCAGATACATTTAAGAGCTATGCATTAACAGTCACTCAAATGAGGTACTGTGCTAAAAAAAAATCTTTGTAAACCTGTTAGGTCACCTGTTGTGTGCAGATATTTAGCACATGATAAAGATATGTTATTGACAATTAAATATCTTAATGCTTTTTTAAGATGCTTAACGAAATTAACTTTTATTTTAATGGCAAAAATATTACATTGTTGGTAGATTTTCTGGCAATATTTTTTTGTTTGACATTGGAAGGCGAGTTCTGCAACCCCGTCATGTTAATTTTCCATTTGATCGTCCATGGTCCTATTTAAGAGCTAATCCAGAAGTTATGACAGCATCAGATCTCTTTAAAACATATTAGGCTTCGTTTTGCAGACGGGGGAATAATACGTTGCCTTCAGAAGTTATTGTCACTGTAGTCAGTGCATTTTGTCCGAGTTGGTCGAAGATTTCGACCTGCAAAAAAAAGAATGAAAAGTTGTGAGCGGACTTCTATGCTTCTATTTTCTCAATCATTAAAACAAAATCAGCATTTCTAACAATGTCATGTGTTTATGTTATAAACTGCACTACACATGGATTTAATAAAATAGTGCCCCCCCCCCTTCGATTGGATAAGATTGACAGCCCAGGTGTGGGGTTTGACCCCTTGGCCACGGCAGTATGCAGAGACGTCCCGAGGGTACGGCACATCGGGGGGGCGGCCGCCCTGGGCCCTGCACTTTGGGGGGCCCCACGTTTCGACGTCACGGTGTCAAGTGTAATACTTCTGGTTTGGTTGTAAGGCTTTAGGGTGGGCCGCAGTTAAATTGCCCTGAGCCCAGCACCCCCCACCCCCCCATGAATGGCACTGGCAGTAGGCAATCGGCCTAATCATTCTTGAGAAGGTACGTGTAATCTTCACGTAACTAATGCCAAACTTACCCTGACCCGTGGCCGACATGGCCTGGTAAGGCCTTCATCCAGCAGTGGACGGGGATCCAGTGGACAAAGGTCTTATGACTGTTGCTGCACTACTTGGGTTACTCGGAATACCGTATCACAAAAAACACATTCCTGCGGAGGGAGCTGGTAGGAACGTTGGGTTGCTCGGCCAATGGCCAGGGTCAACGGCGGCGTGGTGTATTCCGCAAATATGCCCGACTGTGAGGGCGGGCACAAGCCGGCGTGAGTAGGTTAAACGTTGAGTTTTATAAGGGCACCACGGGGTGACCAGCCCCTCCCAACCCATCCCCGCCCCACCCAGCCCCTTCCAGCCCCACCCCTCCCACCCCCCACCCAGCCCCTCCAGCCCCTCCCCATCCAGCCCCTCACCCACCCTCACCTCCCCACCCAGCCCCACCCTCCCCACCCAGCCCCTCCCTGCACGATGGACGGACACAATAATCCCCTGTGGGCTGGTGGAACCCGTGGGTTCCTACCAGTACAATATCTGCAATCCACTCTTCATGCACACAAACAGGTGGAAGGCAATAAATCCAAAACACAAAAGTGAAAATTCTAAATGTTTTATACAAAAAAAAGGGAAACACATGTTGACCTTTGGAAACGTACACTAACATGCCGATGCATTTTGGACCATGCAAAAATGCTCTTTTAAACACCAGGGAATAAGTTCCATTTTTTTCTTGTTCGCAAAAATAACACTCAAAAGAACCGACACTGGCAATGCTTCACTATGGCACGATGAAAGGTGCAACACGCAATAACATGTACATTTCAAAACACTTTACGCGAGCATTGACAGGATACACAGTTCTTTTACAATGGGAAAAGAGCGTTTGGAGTGCATTTTATGTCTGCGCATAAAAATAGCAAAGTTGGAAATGTGTAGTTATGTATTGTCATTTTAGTGTGCAAGTTTTATTACATGTAATACAAAACAACTCAACGAGCAGCAATTTCTATAATAGGCTACGATTTAGACAAAACAATAGTGGTCTTCCAGTATTTAAATTGTAACACTTGTCCAACAGGGACATGGCTCATTGTTTTAGTTTGCATCATGAGTGTACTTAATGTATACCATGCACTCAAGTGTCAGCTGTTAATGTGTCCCAAATAATTTTGGTTCAGCAAAGTCCAAAGTTGTAAAAAAAAAATCCCCCAAAAATTACTCCAAATCACCAACAAAAATGGCATAACCTCCCATGTCTTCCACAGGCTGGGAAGGTGCCAGATTTATTGTCAACTCAAACGGACCCTTGCCGAGTGCAAATCGCACTTAGCAACCTTGGGAAGACAGGATTTTCACCGAGTTTGGGAGGAAAAGAAACTATGCTCGAGTTTTTGTTTGTTTTTTTATTCAAACCTGAATTTTATAAGACTGCAAAAAAAACATTTCACTACTAGCTAAGGAAGGTACGTACGTACATCAAGTAAACAAAAAAAACAACTACATTTTCCAGAAAGAGGCAACCAGCCCGCTGGTCACATGGCAGAAATATAAAATTAATCATGAATCCCAAGACACATGATGCTAAGTTGGCACACGCAAACAGCTCGAGATCCGGTCAACACTGCAATTGTATTCAATCAGCCAAAACTGAACTTCTCGGGCTATTTCTACTGCTATTCATATCAGTGCCTCAGCCAGTAAGACAAGTTGTACCAAGTTTAATCATTATACTAAGTGAGATAAAGAACAATGGCGTGGTTATAATTTGAATGTTCTAATTTCAAAGACATTTTCAAATGTTGCTCGCCCCTTGACCGGATCACAAGCCGTGAATTGTGCCAACAAATGTGCAGTGTACCCACAGCTATACAATGCGTTATACGATGTTCACAAGCTACTTAAAAAAATACTTAACATTTCAGCTATCAGCTTAAGAATGTCAAGACGATCACGATTGTTGAAAAAATATCGTAGTAATAAAATGAAAATATAAGTGATTAGGCAAAAATACATTGATTCCATTATCAGGACATACACAAATCTGTTGTTGATGCAGTTTTATAGGGAGGAATCCCAACACGTTTTAATTGTAAAAGCATTTGCACATCATAACAACTAGTCAATTGTTTCATATTCATAATACTGCAACACGAGGTGGAATTACAGTCAAGGTTTAACAAATCAGATTTTTCCTGTGTCCATCATTCAGAAATCATATTTGTAAGTCATATAAAAGCCACACCTGCAAAATTACTCGACTCGCTAAACAAAGCCATGTCGTCACGGTCACCGATGCGCTCGCGCTTTGCCGATGACTCTAAAAGCACAATCAGGATAATCTGACACATCGAATTTGTTGACGTTTCCCGCAGCACGTGACAACACAGCACCACTTGAAAAACTAAAATGCACACACATTGTAAATACTCATATCGACCGTGTGCAGCTTACAACTAAGCAATGGTGCGGCGAACGGTAAACATCATTCCACAATGTTTTAATTAAAAAAAAACATGCAGCATTCGATTAGGGATTCAAGGAGTCACTTTAGCTCCTTTGTGAGCAACAAAAGTGAGCCGACTCTGGCCTTTTCTGTGCCAACAGCACACACGACGCCCAATACAGTTGTAATTTGTGCTGCATGAAGAGCTCAGTAATGCAATTAACTTTATGGATGTCATCGGAAGCAGGAAGATTGAAAGGCTAACATAAAAATTGAACAAAAAATAAAAACTCCGGCAGGCTCAGTTTGTACAATAAAGTGGCATTCAAGTTATCTCGTGCTATTTTTGTTCATTTGATGTGGTGGCTCAACATTTGTATCAATGCCCCCATTATGCCAGGGCCTACGTAGTCGTCTGAGCAGGATGATGCTTAGCACGCAGCAACCGCCGCCACGCCACGATGCTCCACAAGCATCGTCTCTCCAAGACTAACGTCACTGGCCCCAGGCGTATTATGTACACTCCAGAGCGTGACCAACGTGGACATTTTGCTGCACGTGTTTTCTTCTTGGCTGGATCCTTTTTTTATTATTTCAGCCCCGTGGTTCCATCCCTCTTCACAAACAGCCTGAGGCCCTCATCTGGAAAACATCAAAGACCGACAAAAATTATAAGTGCCAGCCTTGACGTGGAACTTTCACGATGGGCTGCATTGTCGAAAATTGGCCCTGATGAGAGCTAGCTGAGGAATTTTTTTTTGTAAACCATGTGCAGGGCAGATGGGTGGCTTCTTCATTTATGTGAATTGTGGATGCAACACCCTCGTGACCGAGTTTCGAATCGCACTCTTGACAAAAATGAATGGAATACCTTGGCGTAGCAGTCTGCAACAAATCTTGTCCGCAAAGAATGTCGACAAAGGGTTTCTCTTTTTCACACAAGCAACCATTTCACCACCCAACCTAGTTTTTTTTTACGTTTTCTATGCTGTTCGTGTGAACAATTTTAAATTAGAGGCAATTACCTGCCAAGTTTATAGTTGGCGATTGAAACAGCCATGTCCGTATCCTTAAATCAATGCATGTAAACCACATTCTATCAACCCAGGGCACTGTGGGTGATTGCTTGTGAAACTACCAACAACATGAAAGGGACCACTTTTATTTGTAAAAAACGAAGTCTGGAAATTCGTTCAATTTGATCAATCAAAAGTGCAGTCTATTGTTTTGGCAAAGTGCATGCTTTAAAAAAATGATTGCAGTAACCTTCAAAAGACCTACTCATAATAATACATCACCATATGTCAACACTGTGTGAACACTGCTATGTAACTATTGAAACCAATATATACCACAATTCCCTATGACCAAAATCACCCCCAATGTGCCAGATCTTCGTCAGATCTCAAAAGCTAAGCAAATGTAGGGCTGGATAGTATTTTTTTACGGGTGACCACCCCATGCATGCCAGGCTGTTGTTGAAAGCTGCAGGGCTGTATTATGCAGCAACATCCATAGTTCTGTGCTTCTATGCTCTCATGTCTGTAGATTTTATTTTGTAATCGTTTTGGTTTCGTCATTTTGGTGAGACTTATCCTGGCCCTCAAGCGTTCTCACATGTTCTTGGTTCTTTCGGTAAAGTCACGTAATCTGTTTTATTTGTATTATTTCCCTTCTACGTGACTTTACCGAAAGAACCAAGAAGATGAATCCCTGCAGTCACGAAAGCTTTAAATCGAAACGTTCTCACATGGTTAAACAACATACACTTTAAACTTGAAACCACATCTGACCTGGTTGTTTTTATTTTTAATAAGCATCGGGTTCAATTATTTGCATGGAACAGCCCTTTTTTCATGACGTGAACATTACGGAAGCCAGAACAACAAACAGCACAACAGTGGCGAACGACCGAATAAAAGATTCCCGCGTCAGTGTCTTGGAAACGGAGGGGGGGGAGGGGCGTGAGATGCTGTGCGTACGGTGACCTAGAAAAACAGACCAATCCATACCTTCTGTGTTGGGATCAGCCGTGAAGTCCTGTGTCTGCAGGATCTGCTCCACGATGTCGTCCGCGTCCACCCTCGTGGCGTCAAACCGCTTCAGCTCGTTCTCCACAGAGTCCTTGCGGCTACACATGGACGCGCAGAGCAGCGGCGATCGGCAAGGAAGGCAACATCCTTTTTAGAAGACTGATCGCGTAATGCGCCTTCCGACAGACGTTGGTCTTCGGAGGTATTTAATCAGCAGCGCGAAAAGCTGGGGAGAGAAGCTGTCGGGGCAAGATGCGTTGGCGCATCGCAAAGTCACTTTTAAACTGATTCGTGTCTCAAAGTTTTGGCAAATCCTTTAATTCAACTTGGCCAATTTTAAATAGGGTAAATCCCAACTAACAATACAATGTCATACTACAGGTTGGGAGTTATATGGTGCACCCCCCTCCCATTGTGGACAGACTTTGCTCATGCATAAATGCTTCCAGCCTTAGTTAGAAAGCAATGTTACTACTTCTTCCTCTTCAAAAGCAGTACATTTCACCCCAAATAACCTTGTCGAAAATTGATTGCTGCACTTGAGTGAACACTACTTAGGTCTGAGATTACAAAATGCTCTAACAGCTCCACAACGAAGACCTAATGCCAGCGAGGTCAAGCCCCTGATTAAGGGAATTAAGACAGCAGCATCAATAACAGTGTTATGTGTTTCGGATGCACTACTCACAACCAGCCGTTTAGTTAGCAATCCTACAAAACAAGAATATCACACGAAGTCTGCAACAATATATTCTGCTGTCCAGCAGCCAATGTTATGAACTGTACGAGGGTTTAAAACAAAGCAACAAAGATTGCAAGATCGCATTGGTTTCAAGGGTTGAAGCAATGCGGTGCAGCCATTTACTTAACGGCAATTACCGGACGACTTATACGAATGCTGGCTGCAAGTGGTGACGTACACACAATTCGAGCTTCTCTAGTGTGAAATATTCTCCCACAATGGAATTCTTTGTTTGACAAAATAAACACGTTCCTTCGGTGTGGGCAGGTAGGAACTTGGTTGGACAGCGCATTCGTGCACGACAGACAGACAAATAATCCCTGGTGGGCAGTGTGGAACCTGTTGTTCCTACCTGTATGTATACAAGATAACTTGACTTTAGGTAGCCAGGCAGACAGCCCCCTGAACTATCGCCCCCCCCCCTCCCTTAGGCCCCTCCCCCCTTAGGCCCCTCCCCTGACCCCCTTTCCCTTAGGCCCCTCCCCTGACCACCCCCCCCCCCCCCATATCCTCAGGCCCCTCCCCTGACCCCCCTTCCCTTAGGCCCCTCCCCTAACCCCCCTTCTGTTAGGCCCCTCCCCTGAGCACCCCCCCCCCCATATCCTTAAGCCCCTCCCCTGACCCCCACTCCCTCAGGCCCCTCCGCTGACCCCCCCTCAGGCCCCTCCCCTGACCCCCCCCCCCTCAGGCCCCTCTCCTGACTCCCCCCTTCCTTAGGCCCCTCCCCTGACCCTCCTCCCTTAGGCACCTCCCCTCTCCGTACCCGGCAGTAGGTCTCCACCAATCAAAGAGCTGTTTGTAAGGTCTCCACCAATCAAAGAGCTGTGTGTATTATATATTATGTACGACAGACAGACAGACAGTCAGACAGACAGCTAAATAATCCCTGGTGGGCAGTGTGGAACATTGTTCCTCCCTGTATGAATCTTCACGTGCGTTCGAGCCCCTTTGTTGCTGGATGAGGACCTCCCACACTGTGTTGGCTACGGCGGGGTTGTTTTACCATGCCTTAGCAAACAGGTTATGGCGAAGTTGTTTTACCGTGCTGCACCACGCTGATTAGTGCGGGTTGATAAGGGGGGGGGGGGGGCAGCGGCCGAGGACCAGTTTGGTCATAGTGTCAATGCTCTAACCAAACCACCACCGCTCCACTGGAATCTATTTATTTCAATACAAAATTGCAAAAGCAAAAGTCATTCGAACAGGATTTAAAGTAAGGTTGGTAACTATTGATCCACCGATTAATATCTATTCTTAATATAACAATACGAGCGTAAAATTCACTTTTTTTATTTATATATGCTGCAAGTAATGAATTTACGTGACCCTTACAACCACTAGCGTCCACTACGTTCACTCCCAACGTTAAGAAAAATAATACATTTCTCTAAACTGAATCGCCACACTGACTCATGACAGTCTATCCGATTTTCAGGAGTCAATCCTAACACCCTAAATTCACACAAGTAACGATGCTGACGAATCCATGTGGCTTGTGCCAGGGCGAGATACACTTTCTGCCAAGTGGAAGGGCAAAGGATTTTACTCTTGTAGGTAACACAATATCAACTAATGTGCACAAATATTTGTTGAAGTTAGAATACCAAACAAACTAGGATGCCTAAGACACGAGCTTTGATGCAAGGGCTCAAGCTTAGGTTTGTGAACCTTAATATAAGAATGCCACGGTGGCGAGATGTTAACTACCTCGCCTGGTATACAGGAGGTTGTGGATTTCATCCCGATCCTGACGCCTGCATATTTTGAGTTTGTGTGTTCTCCCCATGGTCCCGTGGATTTATCTCCTTGTCCTCCGGGTTGTTGCCTCCACGTTTAGAAGCGTACGTACAGAGTATTTGGCTGCGAAAATTTCCACATGATACACAACTTCGTTGAGTTATCATTTGTGGCCAGGTCGCTTCTGAAAAAGAGCTGCATCATATTCTCAAGACTAATTTTTTTGCCCGTCCACATTAGCTTCGACAGAGCTCCACTCCTTACCTTTCCCAAAAAATATTTTATCATTCTTTCAACCGTAATTAATTGAACCGAGGAAAAATAACATTAAAAAATCCCCAATTTAATCCCGACTGTACCAGCAGCTTTATATCACGAGACAAAGAATGTGATTGGATCTTTAGCAGAGAACGGCCTGTGCAAGTGACTATTGCAGAGCTACCTCTAAAATCCCTTCAATTGACCTCTTTTCTATGAAATAGGGGGCAGCACTTTCCCACCGTGCAAACGAGAGTAAATGTTCATCATACGACAGTTATACCAAGGTTTTATTTCTCGGAGCTGGAGTGTTAGTCAAATTAAGCGTGGAACCAAATGTAATGTGATATGCAGTCATTGTTGACCAAGCTGAGACCATCAAACTCATTACACCAGATAACCTCATTACAACCACACGTGGTTATAATGAGGTTAAGCGGTGGCAGCTCAGCGTTCTGAGCTCTGACTCACCAGGGCCACCACAAAAAAATAATATTCTTAAACAAGGACGTGTTGAAGTGAGCGTTGACATGGCCCAGCGGTATCACGCTCACCGCTTGTGGTAAAGGTTCACAGGTCGAATCCGACAGGCCGCCCACGGTTATAACAGTGTATTAACCGTAAAATAAGGCCATCTGCTTCACAGTGGACGTTAAAGATCCCCTTGACATCATTTGAAACGAGTAGGCCATCGTGCACCGGCATCACGATCCACATTGGACAAATTCAAAAGAAGTACCAACAAACTACTCAATTGGGATTATACATTACAACATCGACCTACTGCAGACCATGCCTGTAAAATATAGCACCTTCGCGATGATAGCCTTGCGCTGTAAGAATGGCACGAACACCAAATGTACTCATTCTAGATTTGAAGCTTTCGTGACTGCAAAGATTCATACTCTTAGTTTTTTCGGTAAAGTCACGTAGGTAAAAAATGAAATTCAAATTAATAAAAACAAAAGAATAATAATTATTATTAAATTTTTATTAATGAAATTAAAATAAAAAAAATATATAATAATTATTTCATTTTTATTAATTTTAATTTCATTTTTTACCTACGTGACTTTACCGAAAAATAAAAAAAATATATATTTATTATTTTATTTTTATTATTTTTTATTTCAATTTTTTACCTACGTGACTTTACCGAAAAAACTAAGAGTACCAAATGTACTCAATTGTAACTAACTACACAGGTATAAAAAGCCAGCGAGGGAACGCACCTGTACCTGTCGGCGGGCTGCGGGGGCCGCGGTGGCTTCACTCGCTCCTGGTTGATGCTGTCTGGCATGCTGCCGATGCCCGTGGACGCGCTGCTGTCGCCGGATGTGTTGCGCCGGTGTGTGAGGTCGCCTAGGCTGGAGGCGCGCGAGTGCTCCGTGCTGTACCCTGCTGGCGCCAACAAAAACAAGGGAGGAACAGGGGGCGACGTTTGCTGCTGCTGCTGCTGCTGCCACGCACACGCCCGGGTTGAGCTACGCGCCCCACTGGCCGTTCGAATGCATACTCGGCTGTGCCATCTGCCATCGTGTATGTCTATTTCTTATCGTCACTATGAGACATCTCCTTTACCAGTGGCAAAATATAGTAATAGGTTTTAACCCTTTCAACTGGTACAAAAACTGACACCTTTATACAAGGCATCGTGTTTGCTAATAACCACAACACAAGCAGTCAACATGCAAACAAAAAAAAACAACTCTGATAATGATAGTGATATGCACTGTCCTTGAAGTTGATTGGTCCACACCCGAGACAGCTTTTCTTAGAGCCTAGTCTCCATTGGTGTTGGACCAGATGACGCCAAAAGGCGTACAACTCAAAAACAGCGCACTATCAGAGTATTGAGAGCTCGGGGTAAGCGTTTACACTATGAGACATCTCCTTTACCAGTGGCAAAATATAGTAGTAGGTTTTTACCCTTTCAACTGTACAAAAACTGACACCTTTATACAAGGCATCGTGTTTGCAATAACCACAACACAAGCAGTCAAAATGCAAACAAAAATAAACAGTGCATATCATTATCATTATCAGAGTTGTTTCTTTTTGTTTGCATTTTGACTGCTTGTGTTGTGGTTATTGCAAACATGATGCCTTGTATAAAGGTGTCGGTTTTTGTACCAGTTGAAAGGGTAAAAACCTATTACTATATTTCTTATCGTTTCAATGGAACCGGTTTCTTCAACTACACTGACTGGTGGGCCACATTAATAAAATCAGTGCATGCTGGCTGGTCACGTGACGCTACATGGCATCGTGCCGTCGTAACATCCGTACGTACTGATCTGTATCATTTGTCTCAAGGTCTCTTATCTATCCCCCTTGTTCATTTCTCTTTCATCTCAATAATATGCATCCTCTATGCCTTGGCAAAACTTGGTATTTATAAAGCATCTCATTATGGCACCATCTCAAGATGCTGTACAAAATGGGAGGGCAGGGGGGGGCTATGCACGTCAAGGGAACTTGGTAGAGACGAGTGTTGTTCATTATTTCTCATGGAGGTTATGTAACTTCTCACAAATAATAAAATATCAGCCTACAATCTTGCCATAAATTAGTTCATGGCAACAAGGCATCGTTATCATCACCATCGTATCAGCCATGATGTATCTAATGCATAATTAATCACCTTTACGCTATCAAAATCATTTGACACAAAGTGCTTACCAAAATTTAACCACGATACCTTGCTGATCTCGTCAAAGAGCATAACCCATCAGGCAAAAGCCCGTTGTCCTACAGCAGTTTTTGGCTAACCATTGAACAAAGACGGTCACTGCATCGCACGCTTTCAGATGGACGTCTGCGGCCGTCTGGAATGCTCTCCTTCCGATATTAGGAACCCACTGGGAGCTATGCACTTTTAAATATTTATTTAAAACATTTATTTACAACTGCTCTTTGTCTTTCGATAGTTGTCCTTCTCCCGCATCTACAATTAATGCGCTTGGCTATGTACGGTGCGAGAGAAGTTTAACCTACATACACACATACACAACAATCTATTTTTACTCCCACACACAAGTTTATATCATGCCATCTTCACAGTGGATGTACTCTCAGATGTGTATCCCTCCCTTGGCTGGCATTCCATCATCAGTTTCGACGATTGGCCATATTACCTTCTAGGAACATGTCCTGCCCAAGCCTACATACAACATATTTTTCATTTGCATTTGATCTCTGATCCATGAGCTGCAGACTGACAAATAAAAAGAAACTAAAACTGAAAAGTATGCAAATAAGCCAAGAGAGATGCGTGCTTGGAATTACACTGAGAGACAGAAAAATGAACTCCATGGATCAGTGCCAAGATACACAAACATTAAATTGCCATACTTTACTCAAAAAAGGCCCAACATTTAACATTACCACATCCAACGTGAGGATGGATTAAACATTGTGGACTCACCATTAAAATTTCACAAGAAATCAAATACACAGAGAGAGGATCAGCTAACACCACCCCTTTCTATCGAAGGGGATAAAATTGCACGACAATTTATAGTGCCTTTGATAGAAGACCACTGGACCAAGCACCAGGCAACCAACATGAATATGAGAGGAGGGACAGACAATAGGCTCTCGTGCTAATTAGTGGCAGGCAGCCCTTGGACGTGAATGACCCGACACAATAGCTGCGTTTGGTGCGTGACGGTGCACTTCACGCCGCGCTGCCAAGCGACGCTTTAAAGCCGCCGTTTTGAAGGGGGCTTCACAGCGGTTTATTCTGGAAGCCTGCGGTCGAGCCCTCCATTTCATCTCTGCGAAAGGTCATTCAACATCGAGGAGAAAACTGGCTGCTGGAAGAATACATATTTCGGTCTGTTCAACTCCACAACCTTCCACGGAGCAACCGTCGAATCCCCCCCCCCCCCCCCCCATCTAAGTATGCTCGTGAAATTGTTACCTGCTGATGAGCAATACCCAAAACATACCCAGCAATGACCGAGACTCACACTGTGTGCCAGGCCACGAAGAGAAACACTCCGTAAGCATGCCTGTACCTGTTTTTAGTGATCGTCTTAGGCCAGCAATGTGAACGCAGTGAGGAAACAATGCAACTGACAAGAGCTGTACCTGAGATTCGGGAATGCTGGCTGGCAGAGCTGGAGCTGCGGACATGTCCCGCTTGAAAGGGTTCATCTGCACACAACATATTCATTTCTGCAACACGTTAATGCACGCAAAATAGAATGGGGAATACATCATGGATGTTAGGCAACAGAGACACAATGCACATGTACGTAAACGTTGAGGACACAATATTGTTGACGGAGCATGACACAGAGTTATTCAGCAGAGAATGCATAAAATGGTTAGTAGTATTCATATTCTTGGTTCTTTCGGTAAAGTCACGTAGATAGAAAACAAAAATCTAAATTTAAAGCAAAAAAACCCACGACGTTTCGATCGCAACACAAACAGTCTTCATCGGGTGGAGATAAATGATGAAGACCGCTTGTGTTGCGATCGAAACGTAGTGGGTTATTTGCTTTAAATTTTGATTTTTGTTTTCTATCTACATGATTTTACCAAAAGAACCAAGAATATGATTTTCTGCAGTCCCGAAAGTTTCCAGTCTAAATGGTTAGTAGTAGGACAGTTTGCCGTGTTTAATTCAGGAGAGGTTAATACCCATGTACAGCTCATGGATTTTAAAAGAAGTTCAAGGCTTCCATGAGTCTCAGGTTGCATCCCAAAGCCAATATCCAGTCCCAGCACTTGCAGATGTGTCCCACCAAGTAATCAGCCCTGAAAGTATGCAGGAATCTTTAAATAGCCACATGCCATCATGTCAGGAGGAGAAACGGTAGGGTTTAATTGCAGCTCCGTGAAACCAACTGCTTCCAAATGCACTGCTCATGCACATCCAGAGAATGTGGTTTATTTCTTCCTCCAAAAACACTTACTGGCAAGATCTTTATTCTTCAACCACTTTCCTGCTGAATTACAAGGTGCAAGACTGTCATCATTGTGGATTCAATTTAATCTTCCACACATTTATATTTCATCCAAAGCTGTGCAATGCCACAGGGCAGTGTAAAGAAAACTAATATGACAAACACATTTTTCAGACATGCCCAAGTCTGCTCTGAATGCAGAGCAGATTTATTTCACACCACACTTGCAAAAATATTAAGACAAACTGCCGCTAAACTAAAGGATGCAAGGTTATTCAAATGACAAAGAACAATGGGTGGTTTTAATATTATAATAATAATCACGTGACTGCTGATGCCTAGCTTTGTTTCTGTTGTCTTCAGCAGACATACGCACTGCACTATGTGCCTACAAATAACAAAAAAACATGGAACTGCTATTGTTTTACTGATATTTTTTGCTACACGTGGGTGGTTGGGAACCATAAACATAGAATTAAATTAAGATGCATCTCACAAAACGAAATCGAACATTGTAGACGGCAGCCAAGGCTGTGCGTCTTGAGCTGTCCCAACCCAAGCTTAAGGCTTATTTGAATGATTTATAATCATTGTCAAGCACTCTCGTGCTGTTACTGCATTGCCACGCCATTAATAACGTATGTGTGGGAGTGATACCACTCGAGCGCCATGAAGACACGCCTGCACCGGGGCGTTAATGTGCATATTCTCGAAATGGCCACGAGGCTCCCCGAGTGCTGAGTTGGCATCAGAATCAGAATATTCATTTATTCTGGAGGAGCCCAATGAGCTATAAGTTAAAGGATTCTGAAAATGGTTAACAGTTCACCGGTTATCGTTTAAAAGCCGTGTTTTGATGGAGATGTAGTGAATCGGTGGTCTTAACGCCACAATAATGTTAAATTTGTTTCTGCACTTAATTTGGCAAAATTTTATAACCGATAATCAAAATATCGCTATGACTGTCATGCTACGCATGGGTAGGAAGGTGCTGCCACCCGCTGTATTGAAAAGAGGTCACTTCAAGTGATTTTAGAGGTAGCTGTATGATAGCTACTTCCACAGGCTGTTCTCTAACACAATGGGGGTGCACTGCTCTGCGAGAGATCCGAATTGACACTGTCGCATCGCGCTACGCCGAAAACACAATTCGGATACAATCTGGAGTAAAGTTTTTTTAGTAAGCGGACAAACGAAAAGCACAATTTTCTTTTTTAACTATCACAACTTTCAACTCTTGTCGGATAGCATGAGACACGCAGCCACGGTACGCATTTACACGGCAAGCGATATGACTTTTTGATCGCGTATTTTTTTGCGCGTGCTGGCCGAACGTAGCCGAGGACGTTCTCGGTCTGCGTGCCTCTGCGGGCGGATGAGCTCACCTGTAGGCAACACGCTGGGCCGACTCTTGCTCTGCCGTTGCGCCAAGGAGCCCGGGGTGCTGCTACCATCATCGCCAGGGCCCTTGCTCTCCAGCTGCAGCGTGCCGGAATCCTCTCCGGATACTGACAGCGGCATGGGTGCCGGAGGCCTGAAGACAAATGAACACATGTGCCTACCTTGCTTCGTCCGTCAATTGTCCCCGACACATTAGACGATGCCTACACTTGCCACGGTCATGTGCTACCAGTCAAGAGCTCTTCCCATGTTAATAGCTGTAAATTAGAAATCCCTCCACACTGTTTGGTTTCAGCCCATGGTCAATCACCGTCATCTTAGTCTGTCATTTTCCGGGATCCACGTAAACGCTTGCTGAGCCCTTCTTGCTAATTGCATATGATATATGTCGCCCGCCCAGTTCAAAACTTTGTGATGTGACACAAGGGGCCGATGTGGCCAGAACCACACCTGGCCACCTTTGCCTCCCCAGTACTGACATTTACAGACAGCACCAAGTACTCATTCAAAGCTGAGTTGACCTCGGGGGATGCCCAGGCCAGGTTCAGATACCACTTTCCACTGGCTTTAATCAAGGGCGAGAATCGAACCCACTGTCCCCAAGCACATATACATACCCTGAAAGTGTTCAACCCCCCATCAGCTATTATAGACGTGTGTATCTTTACAACTGTGGGTGGCCTTATGAGCATAGCGTGGCTTTGATCTGACCAATTTATTTAAAGGCCAGTAAGCCGAAACGAAGAGACGTTTCATCTTGGCAAGAGTAAAACAAACTCTTTTAATTAATCCATTATGAAAATGTTTAATGTGCCCAGTGTGTGTGTGAGTGCACATGTTCATCCAATTTTACGCAACAACAACCTAAAAGGCTGTCTGTTTCCACTACTGAAGCTGTTAAGTTAAGGTGGGAGGATAGGATGGGCTAGAATTTACTCTACGAGTGAAGCACTGAGCCGTGTCATTATTGCACCCAATTACCTTTGTGTATATTTTAAAGGAACATCGAGACCTACATAATTTAAACATTAAACTTAAGACTGCACAAAGTCACATAAAACATTTAATTCTGCAGTCTAAACCATTTTAAACACCTACTCACTGAACACACATCATTTACGTCAGCAAAATATATGAACATCTGCTAAACAAAAATGCGGGGAACATTTGATGCGGCTATAAAGTCATTTGAATATTATGGCTGTATTCTTCTAGGAATAACTCGTTTTCATGGATTTTTGTCTCCAAACCATAATCGCCAAGCGAATTAAGAGATTATGAAAATATATCTCAACTGAAACGAGCTTGCAACAGATCTGTGGTGAAAGATAATGCAACCCATGACTTGCCAAGGACTCAGTTTAGTTTGCATAATGGTGTTTTGACTTTCACAATGTAATTGAACCTTTTAGAGCAAAAACACACAACCACTGGGATTTCCCAGCTGTTAGTTATTTTTTATTGTCTCTTATACCTGCTACTTTCCATTCAAGCGTGTATTGTATTTTAATAGGTACATTACACATACCTAAATGTTCTAATGTACAGGTTCACTGGAAGCTCTTGTGACAAAAGCTCTCGATCCAACGCTGCTGCGCATCATCCATTTTAAAAGTAATACAAGATGTCTCCCAGACTAAAAAGGAAAGGTTTTAATCGATACCGTGTCCCAAGCCAAATGAAAAGCAATTGGGAGGCAGACATACTTGTGAAGTCAATAGATAACCGACTCAGAGATGCATGCAAGTGCCTAGCGCTGTAGGCAGCCGTGACTCACCTAATAAAGCGCTTTGGATGATGGCGTAAGGTTTTCACAAAATGCAAAGTCAAATAGCTGCGGAACGAGGCACTCCCAACGCATCAACTTGTCCATGTTTTACCTCCGCTAACCTCTCGGTGAGAAATGTTCCCCCGGTTATCCAACTTGGGAGTGGAGTTTACCGCACTTCAAAATGAACATTGACAGCCATCTGGCATTTGGATACATACATTTACGTAGTAATTAAAGATTATCGTCAGCACCGTAAGTCGATTACAAATTATACACGTGCTGCAATCTATTTGTTCGCGTCAAACTTACGTTTTGAAGCAAGGGTCTCCAGACAGTAGAGTCATCCCAATAATGACCTAAGAAATGTTCATCATTCACAAATGAGAATTTAATTGCAAATGTCACGCAAAGCAATTTCAACAACACACAAAAAAAACCCCATTGCACGAGAAATTGAGCAAGTATTTACCCCACGTGTGTTAAAATGTATGGCGCGAAATGAGTGCAACAGTCATACATTACATAATGATTTGGTTTGAAAGCAGCAAAAGGTATTAACGAAAATAACAGGTCAATCAAAAAACAGGTCACAGAGTTGAAAATGTGATCGTGATAGTGTGGCCAACTAGACTTATTCACTAAATAGGTTTACACCGAGGGAGCTTAAACAGGGTATAATGGGTGATGTTGGATAATGGCCTCAATAAACAAAGACGGTCACTGCATCGCACGCTTTCAGATGTGCTTCTGCGGCCATCTGGAACTCTCTTCCTTCCGATATTAGGAAGCCACTGGAGCTATGCACTTTTAAATACAGTTTGACAACTAATTTCTTTAGAACTGATTTTTTTTGTTAAGTTTGTTGTCCATCTCCCGCACATTCGATTATCACGGTTGGCTACGTACGGTGCGAAAGAAGTTCAACATACATAAACATAAGCAGTAGTTGAATTTCTGTACGGTGACAATATACAGTGATATGATGACAAGTCTGCTTCCAGCATTCGAATCGCTTATGAAACTCAATGTTGTTCGGTTGCCATACCATTCTCCCTGATGTGGTATGTACCTGGTCTCGATTTCATAAAAGACATCCTGTAAGGTTTCATGGTCTTACACGAAGCTAAATAGGGGAACGGAAATTATAAGAGTGTGTTTCACGACACCAGATATTAACTCTCTGCACTAAAATCCTGATTCAATTATTAGACGCGCTGTGAAATGCTCGCGGCAACTGGAACCTGATCCTTGGTCAAGTTCAACACAAACACACACACGTCATTAACAAGGATGTAATTTCAATGCGGTTTTGGCAGAGACATGCCTTGAGAATGGAGTTGTCCTGCCGTGCGTTCTTGGTGTCGTATCCCTCGAGAAGGCAGCGGCGCGTTGTGCAGCGCGAGCCGGCAAACTCTGCCATATTCAGGTCGGCAAAACCCAACTGCGACCAATCACAAACGCAGCACCACACACCCAATCGATATATAGTACCGCAGTTTTCTTATAGGTGGCTCAGAACGCTAATACTGTACCATGTCAGAGCAACGAGCCAGCACCGTTGAGATTCTGGGTTTAAATTCAGGCAGCCGGTAATTTTTATAGCGCGTTCTCAAGAACAGCAAGTGTCAAATTCCAGCCTGGTCCCAAATAACTGTGCAGACATCCTTTATTTTACTTATTATAGTTTAGATATGTATATTTTAATGGTCTGATTGATATAGAGTGAACCCTATTCACACAGCATACACAAAGTATGTGGCAAGTGTGCAAAAAGAAGCTTATTGAAATCACTTCAGCAGTAGTTCTATGACATCCTCTTTCACGGTCTATCTCCAGCACAGGGTGCTGCACCGTTGTGAGAGCTACAAATGGGAATTTGTTCATCTCATGACATAACACTGATGGGACAACCGAAATATAATTATATGATCATCTCTACAGATTTTCTTAAGCAAAAACAGTGATTCAACTTTTCGCTGTGCTTATATTGGTTATTTTAATGTCAATGAACACAAACAGTGGTAAAACTATTTACACACTTTAAAAAGGCATCGTTAATCTGCTACTTTCAAGGATAGCTTGCTGTGTACAGCCCTTTGTCAATACAATGCTGGCAGGGCATCCCCACACTATATGGGTCATGGGGGCTATTTTTTTTATCATACTTCAGTATGCTGCTCAGTGGGTTGGTAAAGGTAGGGAGAGCGTGGATGTGAGAGCATTGAAGCACAGTACAACAATGGATGTTGCTGCCCTGCCTCCTGTTACCCTGCAGCCTATAACAAGCAATTGCGTGCTCGGCGAAAGCGGCTCAAGTCGTCAGCTTCCGAAATCTGACGAGACCGGGTGCAATCTGGGCGATTTGGTCACAGAAAGCTTGCCGCATAAAGCACAAAATATTGAACCACGCGGCACAAAGCGATAACCGGCAAGAATAATCTAGCGCCCTATTTATATGTAGGACAGCTGGTTGGTAACATGTGACCAAGATGTATGACTCAGCTGTGTCGTCTCGGTGCGTCTAGTTGTTTAAAAGTAATTTGAAGAATCCACAGCAGGCAAACCAGTGGCCTCAAACTAAAACATTTGCGGTGAAGTTGTGGAGCGATTCTCACAAGGGAGTATCAGCGAGATTACCAAAATCTCAATAAGCTTTTACGTAAAGAGTAATTCGCATATCCGCAACACATTTAACGAACCACTGTGGCGCCTGTCCTTCGACTCCGTGCCGGTTTCAACAACAACATCGACGTGAGGATTATTACGTAACAGATGTGTGACTGGGCAACAATTTTATCCTACATTTTCACATATTTGGATCGTATTTGAATCAACAAAACAAAAAGCTGAAAGTCAAAACACTAAATCGAGGGGCAAATGTTATTAAGAGCCATATTAATCAATCGTTATTGCTCATTTATTTACAAACCCTACAGTGAGTCATTACTGACAACATGACGCTAAAGTGAGTCACTGCTGACAAACCATAGGTCAACGCATACAAATATCCTCCTAAATTAAAGCCAAGCATCTTACCTTGCTGTATGCCTTCCCTCCTTTAAGTTCCTTCAAAACAAACACCCACACAACAGAGAAACAATTTAAATGCCAGTTGTCGAGCTAAAACATTGCTAAATTAAAGGAAGCAATAAAGGATAACAAAAATAATAATAAAAACCCTAATCCATTGCAAGCTTTTTAAGGTGCCACAAAACTAAGGTACAACTAGGGCCTCAAGCTTTAACACAAATTACCATTTCCATTTTTCAAGAATGTATTTTAAGCGCGGGATTGTATCAAGTGCGCTGCTGTCAGTGTGCCTCGCATTATTCACAGATGCAGTTCTGCTATTCGGTTACTTCTTGGATGTGCTGCATATGGATGGCATAACTGCGTGCAAATTAAACGTCGTTCCCATTTGTGTAATTTATTTGTGTGGGTGTGAACATATTCTATTTGATAGCCTCAAATGAAACACACGCGGACTGAAACAGCATGGGATCTGGATAATTGTTAGCATTCCGTGCTTACACTGGACAGTAGCATTCCCCAGAGAATGTAAACATAATGAAGAATATTTATTGCTGCGTCGCACTCGAAAAAAAAGAACCCACCACCCTTAGCCTATATGAGAAGGAATGTCCATAATTTACCATCAAAACGCCCAAGGGAAACCGGAAAATCTGGGAAACACTCGAGCTGTGAATTTTCAGATTTTATTTCTTCCCAAGCGAAACATAGACGTAGGTTGTTTAAGCTATCTGTGAGGCCCGCAGTGCTCTAACTGCACACCAGCCATTGCAACTTTATATTATACGTATAGCAGCATGTTAAAAGACTCTGGCATAATATTCTATAAATACATATCATATATAAATGAATGGCCTCGCCCGCTTGACACAACACATTTGCTTGTAATCCCCACGACGCAGATCTTACGTAAGCTATGACAGGAACAACAACCCCCGGGCGGATGCATTTCATGCACATCGGAACTCGGCAGCCAAACCGTTCCAAGACACCGCATATGAGGCAAGTCCCTTTTTACACGAGCACATCCACTTTTCCTCCCAAACCATGGGAATATGTAAACACGCTTCTGAAAAGGAGTGCTCCAATTTCCAGCAATTCCTTCAGCGGTGCAAATTGATGAGTAATCTGGTGAACAAGCTCCACCTTGGACGGGCATGTAAGCACCACACCCCTGTAATTGCATATAGGGTGACACAGCCCATCATATTTGAAACTCCCAAACCTGACCGCAAAGAACACAGCTAAGCCGACATGCATCAAGCTGGTGTCCTGCTGCTGATATCATCGTCATCAAAATCATCTTCAGCTATGACCTTCTCAATGCTGGACGAAGGTTGCCATCTTCCCCTATGATCCAGCTCCTGATGAACTAATTATCAACATCATCTTCTTCATCACCCACTGGTTATCGACTAATACGACGCGAAGGGCCTCCCCTCACTGTCGCGATTCCTCATGGCCTCGCGAAGCAACAATCCACGTATACCCTACACACACGAGCTCCATCTCTGCGGCAGATATCTTGCGTGTTCCATCTTCGGGCTGCTCCTCCGTAATTAGTCTCGACCAATGGCCATCATCTCTTCTTGTGACATGTCCCACCCAAGCCTGGTTACTTTTTAAATGTGGCGTCTCTATTATTGCATGTGTTTTCTGACCCACGTGTCCCTGCTCGTGTTTCTCAATGTAATTCCTAGCACGCACCTCTCCACGCTTCTTCCCACAAACAGCAGCCTAAAAAAAACTTACTTCAAAGTAAATGGAAATGTCCCGTAGTGCATCGAAATAAAGACATCTCATATAAAGAAACAATTACTTACATGTTTCATAAACACGATACCAAGCATCGGGGAACCAATTTCCTTCACGAGTGCCAAATAGGACCTTTGGTGGTTCACACATTAACACATGCTTTGGCATAATGCCAGGTAGAAAATATCCCTCCCTAGTACCTAATTAGTGTGACTAAGATGCTTGCAGTGATGAATAAATGTTGTAAGCGGATCATTTCAAAGTGGTAGGCCTCAGGTGGCCGCAGGCTGTATGAAATGAAGCCGCTGGCAGGATAGGTTTCCCCACCCTCGCTGTGTATGCATTATTGAAGCCGCATGTCCATGTCACAGCGAGCTCCACGAGAGGGTAAGTGCCGGCGTGAGCTCTCTCTGTCGTCTCTGTTGTAACGTACCTTGCGGATGGACACGCGGCACACACAATGGTCCAGAACTCCACTGGTAGGGCTGGCCGTCATCTTGCACACGAACTCAAACTTCTTCTTCCACCGAACACAGTTCTCACGAACCTCCTCCCTGCGCGCAAGCGGCACAGCGTGTTAATCCACCAATCCTCATTTCACGCCGTCGCTCACTACAACAACTACTATTTCTTTAGTAAGTGTTATAATTGCTTTATTGATACACTTAGAGACAGCGCCAAACGGTCCGTAAAGTGATCAAGGTTGGCTTATCCACATCAAGTCCCTGAACCACAAGTTAACAACAGGAAATTATTGCTATAATGATCTGATGATTTCTAACCATAATAATAAAAACCAGTGTACAGGTGTGTCCTGCTGCTGCTGCCTAAAATAATCTGGCCATGATTTTAACCATTTTTAACTGGTGCTCAAAAACAAGGCTGCATTATGCACCCAGTACGGTGATGTCACGTGACATGCAAGGCATGATGAGAGGAACCGATTTTATGGTCCCAATTGCACTTATTTGAATGGATGATTTTCCTACGCTCTCTTTTAAACCTTTACAAAGTCACAAACTGTTTTTTGGCTGCCACCCTCCATGCAGTGAATACAAACATTTGATTGTAAAGCAACTAAAAATGGCTACATCGTGTGCTTGGGGACATTTTGGGAGCGTTATGCATGACCGTGGGAAAGCAGCTGGTGCAAAGGTAGCGCCCCGTGCCATTTCACAAGCAACCCATTGAGACAAAAAAATATTGTTTTGGGCAAACAAGTGGCATAAGGGGTGAGCGAATTCCACGATCAGATCTCCCATGAAAGCTGTGTGCAGCTGGCATTTTAAAAAAACCTGACCGAGCTCCATGCGGCAGGGGAAAAAAAACACAGAAAAAAAAATTCTACTTTCCCCAAAAAATTAAAGCAACAGTCCTGTGACTGACAAGGTATCTTCAAGCCTGCCCGCTTGCTTTACCTCTTATAGTGCGAGCAATAAAAACCTGGGCTTGTGCATGACACGAGAAAAATGGATCAAGTAAAAAGAAAATGGATCCGTGTTCATTCTCTAGACTGCACGCTTTCAAGAGCCTATGATCAAAAAACAATTAGGAGTTCGATCTTGTCAGGTCTGAGGAAGTACGTCTGGATAGTGCTTTGATGGGTGATCGCCAAGCATCAGACAGATTATTGCAGGTTATCACGGGGCTACCTTGTCAGCAGAGGGCAATGCAACAAAATCATTTGTTGTGGATATACCACTTTTTTAAAAAGTAGTATTAAGTAAGATTGAATACTGGTCGTCTCAGTCGTGTTCTGTCTCTTCATATACTAATCGTGATGAAAAAAACTATCATTGATGAATGAATGGTTGTTTGAGTATATATGTAGTCGTGTTGGCAAACTTGGCACCACAAACCAGGAGTTTAACTTGACTTTGAGAGATATTTAAAAACGAGAACCCTGCAGGAAAGGCCTTGAGGTCGGTTTGGAATGTGCCGGAGACACCCCCCTAAAAGCCAGGTGCTCATTGTAGCGATAAGTTGTGCCGCACCAGGCTTGGCACACGAGGAAAAACACACAAACTACCTTTACTTCCCAAAAAAGGGAGGGCAGATTGATGGCCAAGCTGTAGGGCATCCAATTAAATGTGTAAGGTCTCCATTGCCTCACAAAAGGAGAACACTTTTCCTTTTTCATTGGAAATATCAGACAAGAAATGAAATAATTCGTATATATTGGTCAATTCATGATTTTAGTATATCCACGCATGCCATCACTGAACTGTGGGCAGACCAGCAGTGGTTAAGGGAAGGAGTGGTTCACGTCAACCCAGCACGATTGCTCGTGCCACAGGAAAGCCGCCCCACAACGAGACACGGCCGTACAGCGGTCAAGACAAAGAGCCACCACTGAACGTAGAGTGGACGGCAGTGGGAGTAGCAGAAGAGACTAAGCTGTAACACAGCTGCAATACATTAATAGCAATAAGCTAAAGAGGAACTTCAAGGGTTGATAAGCTGAAATAATACAGCAGCGAAGGCTGTTTAAAGCAGATCTGAAGATTTTCAGTTGAAGAGTGAACGCGTGAAGAGTCGTTGGAGAATAAGTGGAGATAAGTACAACTCAAAAAGATGGCCCTCAAAGAGGAGAGAACTCCGACAGTGCTGAACTGTGCCAACCAAGTCACACGCCACAATCAACACGAGATAAATAGTGACTTCATAGCTACAAGTCCGTGGACTATCATCACGGTGAAGATATTTGTCCATCTGTCACCTGACTGAGACAGAGCGCTGTCGCTGCATACGCCCTACGAGGAGAGCGTTCATGCGCTTCGTCAAAGGGTGCAGCGCTGTTGTGCCGTCATTAACAGCCCCGCGGCTTGTTCGTCACTGAGGCAGGGCCCGTCGCTCATCAAGCTGCCGGCCGAGGAACGTTTCGTCGCTGTGCAGCGCTGCCAGCTGCCAGATCGTGGCTCTGTCACCGTGGCACAGAGGTCGCTAAAACGGGTTTTGATTCCTTACCCGTACCCGGCCGCACCAGGGTCCCAAATGGGTACCCGTACCCGACCGGGTACGGGTAGCCGTTCCCTACCCGTACCCTACCCGAAATGAGTGACAAACGGCTACTCATCAGTGACTCACGGCCTACCCGTACCCGTACCCGGCCGCACCAGGGTCGCAAACGGGTACCCGTACACCCGTACACCCGTACCCGGCCGGGTACGGGTATCAGGTAGGGTACGGGTATCGGGTACCCGGTTGCGACCTCTGCCGTGGCACCGCGCTGTTCACGTCGACCCGCACTGCACTGGAGGAGGCATCGTGCGCAACCACTCCCTGCAGGCGAGAGAAGATGCCTGTTCTTCTACGACAAGGATACCAGACCGTGCTTGAGGTCCATTCGTCGATAAGTATCACGATTAATTCGTGTCTGTGGTATCAAACCCCGATTAATTTTGAGTCGTGCATACACATTTACTACTTTAGGTATTGGGTTGTTTTATGTGTATTGCTGCATACAGAACAGGGCATTTTTGCATTTTGATTGATACCAATATCTTTGTAGCAGTATTATACGTTGTACCGAACACTGGTTGCATATGAATGACTGGTATTTTGGCTTTTGATATAGACAAGACTTGCTTGCATTAAAGTCCTGCTTTCGTTTACGAGTGTGTTCAACCGTTCTGTTGCACGCAAAGATAATCAAACGAATCTGGTTTCCATGGCTTCCTGTCATTCAGTTACACCCTGGACAACGAAAGACCAAAAAACTGGGCAAATTCCAATTGAGATGGCAAACTTGCTGTACGGTACTATGGTCCAGCGTCTATGCTCCCTGGCTTCATAAACCACCACTGACCAGCACGGTGAAAGCACGGTCATAAATACCACCCCCCCTACCCGCCCCCAAGATACTCACGGTGTGGACAGGCCTTCATCCAGCAGTGCATGACTAAAAGGGCCGTACATGTCCTGTACCATTTAAAAAAACATCACCACATATTTTTGCGCGCGCTAGCTTGCAGTGAGAGCGAGGATGAACGCCGCCGTGGTTGAAAGGTCAAAGTTTGTCTCCAGACGCTCGGGCGGATTGCTTCCGTTCTTTGTTTTAGCGCAGCAGCAGCAAGCAACAACAACAAAAATGCCTGTTGAACACCCCCAAGTCGCGGGGCAGCCGGGCAGGAGTGCAGAAAAAGCTTTGTGCTAGACCCACACTGTCTGCCCAACCCCCCATCAGCCACTTTACTCAAGGAATTTACACGTTGCAGCACTTAATTCAGCAAAGCAAGTCCCCATTGTGCACGCTAAGACTCCTCTGTTAATGTACAGTTCTCTGTTAAAGGATTGAGGGAGAGACCAGAGGTTGTGGGAGGGTGGACAGGGTTTGGGATTGAGGGGGGGGGTAAATCTAACACGCATTGCTTAACTACATTTAAATACCTCCCCCTGTGAAAGACATTTAAAAGGCTTAAGCGATGCACGTGGAGGCAACGAAATGAAGACAATTTCACTGGCTCCATTCCGAATCATCACCATCACACGTGGTGCCAAACTACACGGGACATTAATTGAATCAAATCGATTATAGGCCATTAAAATGTATTAACAACGAGTAGGCGATCCGATGTATATACAGTACCACCATTTTAGCCTTACAAGTCAACATGGAGAGTTACAAACCCTCCACGCTCGGTTTATATTTAACTAGCTGTACTACCCGGCTTTGCCCGGGACTTGGATCCACCACGCCCGGCCGCCTTTGTCTCCCCAGTGGCGATGTCCACACCACAGCAGTTACTCCTTTGAGGCTGAGTCGACCTAGGGGAGGCCCAGGACCGGTTGAAATAATCGTCACCGGTGGTGGCCGTGAGCGGGAATCGAACTCGGGTCGCCGGGTTCGTAGCGCAGCGTAGTGCTACCCACTACACTACAATGCGTTACGCTTCCACGTGCGCGGGTCACATGACAGATTTGACCTCACAGCTCACTTGCCCTGCAAAAAATATATGCATTATTTAGCCCCCCCCCCCCCAAATAAAGTGTATTTTAATCATTTGTGCATGGTGTACAGTCTGGAAAGTACCCACATGGAAAATGTCAAGTTTGTTGCATGTCGGGAAGTACGCTAAACATTTTAAACGGACACACATAATCATAACTTTGCCTTTTATATATATATGGAGATTAATTTCTCTGTCTTCTCAACGCTCTTAGTTGCTGGCGCTTATCCAGCAATCAACCACTACCAATTTCTCATAATATTGCCAACGGGTAATTCCTTTGGTCCATTGTCAATGTAAAAATCCATTGCAAAAACAATCCAATTAAATGGTTCAGAGGGGCCACTACCAAAGATCAATTATGTTGACACGTTAACAACATGTCCATTATGTACCCTATGGAATGATGGCAGCCATCTCCATAGCTTGGACGAAAAGTCACAACACAATGCACTAAGCCCTGCTTAAACACACTGTACGTCCACCACAAATTAAATCAAAGCCTTTGCATGAGAACAAAATGTGACTTATTCTTCCCAGTTACCCGATAAACGTTACAATTTAAAGTCTCATTCAAATGCCCAAACTCGCCTTTTTATTTCACT